TATAAGTGTCTGGTTTAATGTTTGCAATTTTCAAGGAGTTCTCAAGGTGTTCATCTGATATTCTGGCTCTAATTTATTTTAAGATTAGTATGCCTTATTCTTGGAAATAGTTGTTTATAAATGTATGTGCTGCCAAATAATGATAACATGAATAACACTTAACTGTGCAACAAGGTATATTTCTCTCTGGGTAGGTATGATTTATAAAAGTTCATAAAAAAGTCCGATATAAAAGATTAAAATCTCAATTTAAACACTATTATTCACTACAGCATTCGTACAAACACAATGTTGAAATACTGAACTGATTTTTTACCTACATATTGACTTTATGTGCCATAATTATACAAATGATATAACATAATGTAGGAAACGATTTTGCATACAGCTTGAAACAGTATCTGGGAAACATTTCACAACTTTAAACATACCTAGAAGCACTTGAAAATATAACATCACTGCTATCCATTGTAGCTTGAAGATAGCCTAAAACACTTATCTTGATATGCTTTCTTGAAGATATATACAGACACAAGCAATATATCAAAATGATGGTAATCGCTTCGAACACAAGCTAAACGATGATTTGGAATCGCTATTCTATTCAGAATGCATTTTATTTCACTCCAACTTAGAGTGTCAAATAACGCATCCATGCATATTAAAAACCAGACTCAAAACCCAATTATAACGTAAAATGTATTATTGGGCTAGAGCTTTGATATTTTTTTTTGCACTTCATGCTCATTTCTTAGGCCACATTGATATTTACTTTGGGCTGCATGCAGGCCCTGTGTTGGATACCACTGCTGTAGTACCTAATCACTTAATATGTGCCCATGCATTTTCTGATAAAAAATGTTTGTTTCAATACATTCTACCATTTCTTAAAGTTTCTGTTGTTAGTTTAGAAGCAGTGTGCATATGTTTTAATTTCCTATTTCGTGACTATTTCTTAAAATTTTGTTTCCTCTATAATGTAGAATTTGAAAATTTGCATCATTTATTTTTTGTATTGGAAATTTTTTTGGTATTGTAATGAGAACACCTTAAAAACAGATGAACTTCAGTGCTGTAATGAGCTTATTTCAGTTCTGAATTGGATTATGGTTTTGAAGGTTATTTTATGCCATCTAAGGTTAATAATCTAATAGTTTTAACTAGTTTTTACACATTTGTTTTGTACAGGTGTTATGCCTATTACTGCCGAAATTTGCGCAGTTATTGAAAATGATAACATAACTGACTCTGTTGATCGTGGACTCAGATGTCAATTAGTTTTAAACAAAACAAATTTCTATGCTGAAGGGGATGACCAAACTGGAGATGAAGGTGTAATTTCATGTCAGGTATTATATTTTTATTATTGTTATTTACTAATTTGTCTTCTTATGCTTCTGAAAATATATAAAAAAAAAGTTCAATTATGTGAAAACCAGATTTGCTAAAAACACATTTTAGTAAATAGATTTCAGAATGTTAAATTACAATTCCACATGTTCCTTTAATATTTCATTGTCAGAATATATGGTGTTGTAGTTGAGTTTTAAGCTGCAATATGATTTTAATTTTTGTTAGTGTATACAAGTAAAAAAGCTGGATAAGAAGATGGGGAGTGATTATTTTCTTTTATTTGAAAGGAATCACAGCATACAAAATCAAACAAATAAAATAATTAACATTTCTTTCTAAGTAAAATGAACTGAGTGCTTTTTTTTAATGGTTTGCATCATATGTAGTTGATACTTGAGAACAAATGAGAACACCATTGCTTTACCATCATGTCAACAGATAATACACAAGTTTCTCTTAACTCCTTTGCAGTGGAAACTACCCCAATACCTATGTATTCAATCATTAATACGTTGAGTGCCACAAGTATTTCTTAGGCAATCCCGTTCAGGCCACGTGCGCCACTTAAAAGTGCTGGTATTGTAGGGCCAGTGATTCCTATTGCAGCAGAAAATAGTTTACGTTCGGAACGGGATTCTTATAGGCATTCATTCATTCAACACGTTACGCATCAAGTCTGTTTTGTAAATAGTTACATTCTATACAAAGATATTACGAAGCAGAAAATTAGCATTACTGAATTCCGGAAAGAATTAGCGATATCCCTTACAAGTTGTGAAAAAGAAGACATTCCATCACAGAAATGCAAGAATATTAAAACAATAAAAACTCCAAAGAAAACCGGGAAAAGCCTCTGAGTACGGAAATATTGTAAAATGTATGATAATGCAACAGAAGCTGGTAGAGTAATGGGCAGAAAAAACACTAAAAGAGCTGTCACATTGGTCTAGCTGTATGGCGAACCGTTTTTATGTTATCGTGTTCAGTGAAATTCCATAGTCCGTAATGAATCAAAATTAAGTAAATTTTAAATAAATTTTCTGTAATTCCATAAAATAGAGTAAATTTTATAGTTATATATCATGTTACACGCTGTCAGCTAGCTGCGGTCGATGTGGCCTAAACGGAAAGTCTGGTCTCAGCCACAGATTGCTGATGCGGCCTAAACGGAAAGTCTAGTGTCAGCCACTGATGGCTGTGGCTGACATGGCCCTCAACATGTTAACTAGCCACTGGAAAACCCAGTCATAATACTTTCCACCATCATAATAATATACGGCTTCCTGGTTTTCTGGACCTTGTTTAATAAACTGTCAGTCATTCTTGTCATCATCTGAGTGTAACAAATGGATTATTTATTATTTTCATGAACATTTCCTTTCTTTTGTTTAGCTCTTTACTTCTCCTCTTGTTACTATTCTGAATTATGGAATTATGGTTGTAATGCTACTGACATGTATTGCTACAATGTGCCATTGTAGCAATGCATGTCAGTAGCATTACAACCATAATTAAAGTGAAAAGTGGTATTATGTATTAGACTTAACCCTTTGACATATGAATAAAATTAAAAAATGGTATGCTTAAAAAGTACAGGATCAAAACTTTGCTCTGTTAAAAATTAAAAAAAAAAAAAAAAATCTGAAGAGCTTCAAATTTTGATGTCGCCCAAAAGAATTTGTTAAGGTTCTTTATGCTCTTGCTGAGTTTTCAGTCTGCCAATCTGCACTCATTCCTGTTATCCCCCCTTTTTTCATCTTTTAACTTAATTATTTAACATTGTTTTCTTTGCACTTTATGCTATATACTATTCAACAACAAAATCACAAAATTTTTAAAAGCTGCATAAGAGCCTATATTTAGAATTCTTTGTGAAGTGTTAAATGTTTGCGTACACTATATTTTTTAGTATTTTCTCAGTTGATCATATCAATATTCAATTTTCTTAGTAAGAAGGCTAACCAAAATATTTTTTCGTCTTTTTATTATTAATTGATTATGTGTTAACTTTATTTATTAAATATCATGTTCTTCACATTTATGCCATATAAAATCCAATTCAACTACAAAATCACAAAATATTTAAAAACACCAGAATCTTTAGAATTCATGATAGAGTGTTAGTGGTTTCTATACATGTTTTTATATTCCCTATATTATTTCTTTAAAAATTAGCTGCTTGTATGGCCAGTTGCATAAAATAGTTATAAAAAAGAAAAACGTATGCAGTGATTTTATTAAATCCAGGTAAATTAAAAGAAGTATTTTTAATTAAGTGATTTTTATTAAATCCAGGTATCTTAAAAATATTGAATATTTCTTATTAGATACCCTATGATTTTAATAAATGTTTATTTAAATTATTTACATTAAAAAGCAGAAAAAATATTCTTAAGAACTGTGTTTATTGCTTTTAAATGGCTTAGCTTGTTACTCAGTGGCCTTCCAGATTAAATTTGAAAGTATCTTGGTCTTTACCGAATAGCAACATGCTAGTGCATGTAAGATAAAAGATATTTCCAGTCATGGCGACACATTGCTTTCATACAGCTGGGTTTGTTAACTAAAATTTAAAAATAAATATCTTACATTTTTCCGAATGGCAACAGTGTCAAGCCCTGGACATAAAATCCAAAAGTCATTAAAGTTTTAGAAAATATGAAATAAAAAATAATAAAATAACTTACAAATTCAGACTTTCAGGTACCAATGTTGGAGTGGAGGACAATGTTCAGAACTTGATGGCTCTAGATTATTTTTTTTCACAATGCAAGAAACATATATACATAGATGCAGATTCTTCATTATTTAATTTCTTTAAAAATAATGCAGAGCGATAACATTTGGTGGCAACAGTTTGAAACGTGATTAACCATTTATAGTGAACTGATGCAAAAGCCCCTTAATCATGATTTAAGTTTGGTATTTCCCCTCTCTGTTCTAAAAATAGCAATTGCTTAATAATATTTCCATACATTGTCATTCTAGATAAATCCATATCATATGACCTTGACATAATGGGATGATATAGCTAATTTGCAACTTGAACTGAAACCTTTCCCCTAAACTAACCTCCATACTGAATAACTAGGCACATGCTTTCTGCACTGTGGCATAGCTAGGTTTTGCTTCTGCTGTCTTCTAATTGCAACCATATCAGAAATATAAATATATGGAATTGTGGCCACTAAATGTTCAGCTAAAATAAAATGGATGTTTAAAACCTGCTACAATTGCATCTCGTTGCTTCTATGCGACCTGCAAATTTCTTCTTCATTATGGATCTACTGTGTATGCTTCAAAATCCATTTGTGTCATTCCCAAATTTTAACATATATATAATGTAAACTAAAAATTTTCCATAAATAGGAAAACAAAACATAACATGTGTTATTCTTAATATTTTTTAATATGTTGTCTATTTTTCTGCTGAAAATGTCTTGATGCTTGAAATTTTTTTTTATATCAAATATTTCAATTTATGTGTTTTAGGCCTTTGTATTTAAAGTTATCAATGTATATAAAGTCAATGGGTATGTCTTCCATGATGGCTATGTTGAAGAAGGCAAAGTGAAATCTGAAAGTGAAGTAAACTTGTTTGTAAATAAGGTTGGTATTTGTGTTCACTATTTCTATAGTTAAAAGGGAAACAAAATATAAATATTCCTTGCAAAAATGTTATACTGTTCATTGTCTTTTATGTTATCTATACGTGCTGTATTATTATGCATATGGTGTTTAAATTTTATATGTACCTAATGGTGTATTGATTCCAGTTTGATTATTGTGATTCTGTCCTTCCCCCCCCCCAGATTTTAAGCACAAGTGTGAAATTTAATATTAAGCAAAAAAGGCAACTTTAGTTTCTCTTAGGTTTTAATTAAAACTATGAATTTTTAGTATGTTAAAATAAAAGTTTGCCTTCTATAGGATTTTTTCCCCTCTCTTGAAGATGAAAGGCTTAATTTTTGTGCTTTTTGGCCTAGTATTTTTAAAATTCAAACATTATTATACAGGGGGATTCAGAATCCATCATCAGTATTTGGTGGGGAGATAGGGAATAGGAAAAGAAGATTTCACATAGGAATGCATGAGCACATATGCCATGCAGTAGGGCAAAATGACCCCAGTTGAACAGAAAGAACACATAAAAAGGAAGTAGTAAGGAAAAAAAACATTTATTATTTTACATGTAACATTTCTTTGCATCGGTTTTACAGACTTACAAGAGGTCCTCGAACTGCTGACCATGTGCTAGAGTGCATGACTCGCAACAGCATTGCATGGACAACCTGGTCTTCTAGAATATGCCTGGCATCTACATGCATATCTGCAAGTTCATTCCGCGCATACCGGTTCATGTTACTTCTGCAAAGTCACCTAATCGAATGGTGACTTGGCTGCACACGTCAAACAGCTGTGCTTATGCATGGGAGTTGTGTACACACAGCGCCTTCTACACCATCATGCGTTCATCTGCGCCCATACTTTTTTATATGAAATCTCCTTCTTTTTCTATTCCCTACCTCCCCACCAAATATTGATGATGAATTTTGAATCACCCTGTATAATGTATGTTTATGTGGTTTGTTCTTCCAAAGCAATTCATTACTGAGAATAAATTGTGATGCTATTTATTTGAACATACTGTAAGGTATTTCTCCTGCCTTCTTATTATGCCTTTGTAGTGTAGCGGTCAGCATGCTGGGTGCATATTCTAGAGGTCTGTGGTTCGATTCTGGGTGAGGGCATAGCTTATTTTTTACTTCTTCTGCTTCCAAAAAATACCTAATGTCTTTACAGTGGCACCCAAACTAAATGGTTGGTGGATGATGATCCCCCACATCCAGGATTTTGCGATTGTGTACCCTAAAAATCCCCAGTCCCCATTTAAAAGGGGAGTATATAAGGTATTTCTCATGCCTTCATAGTGTAGAAGTCAGCACTCTGGGCGCGTATTCCAGAGTTCCGTGGTTTGATTCCCGGCAAAGGTGTTGCTCATTTTTCATTATTCCTGCTTTAAAAATAACCTAATGACTCTACAGTACAATAAAATACAAAGTTCTGAATTTCTGAGTGCATATGTTTAACTTAGCTCAAGGATGAAACCAACCAAAGATAATTTTAACATTTGTTAATGATAATTGTCTTTCCCATAAAGCATTTATTCTAAGAGCAGCACTGTGACTTCCTGCTTCTATTTAAATATGTATTTGTGGCTGCAAATGATTATAGCATGTTCTTTTAGAACATTTGGAACATGTAAAACATGTTTCTTTTAGAACATGTAAAACATTTGTTTTTTCTACTGGGTGACTATGCATTTTCTCTTTCAGTTGGGAATGTAGAGAAAGTTTCAGTGAGAAAAGCATCCTAATGCTTGGTCAGCCATTGTATTCACCAAATTTTTCCCCATAGGAGTTTTTTACCTGTTTTCATAACTTAAACTACACATGAAGGTGAACAGTGTGATGATATAAATGGTATTTGAATGAACATAAAACGGAAATTGAAGATTAAAAAAATTTTTTAAACTGCTGTCAGTGGCTCTGTGGATATTATTTATGGTGCATTAAGATTCTTTTGATCAGCCACACCTTTACTTTTGATATTTTTAATTGCCAAGATATAAATAAGTCCTTATGAGTTTATAAATAATATATTTGGAAAGTCTCAGGCAATTGGCAACAATTTAAGAATGCTATATAGCTATCTAAATGAAATATATGTTCAGAAAAAAGATGAAAATAATGACTGAATTTATTTTATAAAAGACTGTTTTCAATAAAAGTATCTTGGATTTGTTTTGAGAAACTGATGTTAAGTTGAAGAAATATAAGCCGTCTTCTGTAGATGTTATGAGGATAATTTATTTTGCGAAATATGGGAGCATTGAAAAGTATTGAGATGTAATAAATTCCCATTGGGTAATTTGTAAAGTTATTACTGTCATACTGTTCCAAGCAGCTTTTAAAATTTTATCCTTCAAGTGTTTTTTTAATCTTATTTTTCTAGAAAGCATTTAGTTGCGGTTGTATAACATATTAGTATTTGTCATTGCTCTCAAATTATTCATAATTTAATCAGAATAATTTTCTTTAGGAACATCGCTTAGCTTGCTCACAAAACCATACTGCTCTTCATTTACTTAGTTCTGCATTGAAACAAGAGTTACCATATTTTTATCAACAGTATGCTCTTGCTGGACCTAAGGAACTTTATCTTTCTTTTACTACTAAGGTAATACAGTTTTATTGAATTTACAATATTTTATGTTACTTAGCTTTTATAAAAATAGTTTATTTATGTTGTGAATGAATTATATAGGAGCATTTTTTAAAATTAAATATTGTACAAGTATTTTTTTTTCAGGCTTTATTGTCTGCTGAACAACTTAAGAATATTGAAAAAAAAATTAATGATTGTATTTGTGCTAATGTGGATGTTGTGAAATTAATTATTCCTGTAAATGAACTGAAAGAGTTCCCTCAGTATAAATCATCACTTTTAAAAGTAAGTTTTTAAAACAGTAGTATATTAATAATGTTTTAATTCCTTTGAGGGGCAGTAGAGTGTTTCTCATTTGACACTTATATACTTTCATATAGTGATTTTAATGCTTTTTATAAATATATATCATAAAATATTTAGAAGTATTATTTGTATATAGGTGGCAATAAAATAAGTTTTCCTATATGAACATTCTTCAGTTTTATTTAAGTGCTAGGATTCCATCAAGCTTCCACTGTTAACTAAGGTATGGGAGAGGTATATAAGAAAAGGGTTGAAAAGTCTTAATATTATGCTCTTTAAAATGGAATAGCAGCATGATTTATAGGTAAGTAAACAACAAAAACTCTAGAAAAGAAGTAAAATATTAATTTGATTTCTTGTATAAGCAAAAGGGGATGAAACATTTAATATGTTCTATAATAGATCTCTTGCAGTTTAAATCGCTTTTTATTAGCAACTCTTGTGGTTCATAAGTTTGATTCACAGTGTATTCAACAACACAATGGCACTGAATACCAATGTGAAGTTGCCCTGCATAGTGTCGTGGTTACTGAAAGCTGACTGTTAGCTGGAAACCAAGCATGGGGTTTTAACTCCCACATAAAGCTTGGGGGAATGTACAGGATGAATCTGAACAAGAGGGCAATATTTTAAGGGGTGATAGAAGGCAGCTATATGAGCAATATTCATTATAGAATGTATGTTCAGAACGCAAACGGCGAGCCACTAGATGGCATTGTAAATGTTATAAAAAAGACCAGTCCTCATACCCAATGGTGTTTCCTACCGTGGATTGCTGAGAGGATGGCTGGTTATAAGAAAAACGAAATTTCCTGGGTGATGGGCTAGTCAAGGTGGTCCCATAACTTGCCCACCAAGATCACTGGATCTCTCATGTTTAAGCTTTTCTTCTGAGGTCGCACAAAAATCCTAATCTACGAGTGCTGCATTCAAACCAATATGGATCTAGTATTCAGGATCACCATTGTTGCCAATGATACTCGGGAAATGCGTGGTGTCTTCACAAATGTGCATCAGTCCCTATCCCGCAGGTGTGATGCCGCATTACAGCTGGCAGAAGGTCTTTTCAGTAATTTCTTCAAGAATGTATATTAATTATATTCCTGTTACAAAATGTTTTCTGAAGTATCTCCTTTCATTCTTGTGTTAATTCTTTAAATGTGAAAGTGGAAAACTACCCTTTAACTTCTCACTGCTTGCATTCTGACCATACATTCTGTGACGAGTATTGCTGATATAGCTGCCTTGTATCACCCTCTAAAGTTTTACGCTCATGTTCAAATTCACCCTGTATATGTTTCCTCCTCTTCTTATTAAAAGAAGAGGGGGAAACGTATTACAGTATTAGTCTAGGAAGTTATTATTAGTTAGGAAGTATAGTATTAGTCTTCTCTCTGTGAGGCATTCTGGGTAATATTCTCTTCTATTTCCTTTCATATTCTTTCAAACAATTTCCAACCATGGAAGGAGAAGAAAAACATATTAATCTAAACTTGCAAAATAATGTCAGAAGCAGAGGTAGCTTAGCAAATTAAAGACAAATGATTAATAACCTTACTTTAGTAAGTACTGCCATAGTAATTGCTGTAAGAACGGCTCTATCATACTTAAAAAATATTCAAGTTAGACATTCTCATTTTTATAGTTGTGGAACACTAAAAATAATCAGAAGAGTATTTCCTCTTGATAGCTATTTATAAAGAGAAAAGTTGGACTATTATAAAAATTGCAGCGAAATCATGTCAAATGGGGGTGCATGGTAACTATGCTGGAGTTTTTTGAATTCTTTGAATAAATCTGAACAACTTATTCTTTATTTATTTATTTATTGTGTGTGTATTTAAAGTTTCCACTGATTAAAATTTTTCTTCATTGCCTAACATAATGTACCCAAACCAGAAATCATCATGCTAATGCTCACCATAGGCTAGGTTGATAAACCACTGAATACTAATATTTATAATCCTAGCAAAGAGGCTGGTTGCATTGATATTTTCATTTTATGTGACATAAATATATATTTTCCGTTAGCAAGTTTTCTACAAAGGCATTCTTTAGATTAAGCAGTTGACCCTTGAATACTTTGGCATCATTGGTTAATCAAATAAACAAGCAAATATTAAATTCTGTTCTTGACACAAATGTTGTTTTTCAAAATCTGTTTCTGGCATCATTAGGCCAATGCAATATAATTAAAAATCTGATAATCTTTCATGGAATTTCCTTGCTGTCAAAATTGACATAACCAGCTGCCTTGCTGGTGTGTGTCCATTGTTAGCAGCAGGGTTACTTTCCAGTGAACTGTCAACTTTGTATAATTTTTTCAACTTTTTATAATTTCTGCTGTCTTTGATGTAATAAATTTATGCCATGTTTTAGTATTAATTTTTATATCCCTCATCCTTCAGTTTGCATAATCATTTCCCTAACTGTAACAGTTAATTCAGCGCCTTTCTGCTTACTTTTTACGATATTTAAACTCTTAAGAAGTGTATGCTCTCATTTTTGGTAAGGATTTAGATTGCAGTGTTGAATTTTTCAACCTGGTAACCCAGCGGATTTATCGTGTTCGCTTGTTCGAAGTTTGCAACCATTCTTCTTGCGTTTATTTTGTTGAATTGTCACTGTCGTTGTTCGCATTTGCAGATTTATATTATTCTTCTTATTATTTATAATTATTTTTTCTGAATTTTTCAACAACGAAATATATAAATTATTATTAATAGAAATATTTTCGTAGATAGATGCCGGTTCTCGGCTCAGGATGAAAGGAAGAAAATATGGCGAGAGGGGTGAATGCTAATTTGTAACACGGCTGTTCACGTAGTGTTCTTAATTATTAACAGCTCTAAGAACCATGAGGTTTCCAACCTCTGTTATTGGTTATTGTCATCTTAAATTATGAAAGTAAATCAATTTTTATGGCGTAAAATTTTAACAATATATTGTTAATCCTTTTCTAACAATAACCTTTCAGAGGATGGCAGGTGTAACATAAATAGATGATTAAATTGAAATAAAAATATTATTGATTATCTAAGATGACAGAATAGTTTGATGCATCACCATGGTCATCAAAATTAGCAATCCACTGCTGTTGTACGGGATATATTGTTTTCTGTGTTAAATGGAATTTAAGACAAGTTTTTTCCGCTTATCACGTTTAACCGGGTAATTTCAGTACATTAATAATAATTTATATTTTTTAAATGAATTTTTATTTCCGTTATAAATGCTTATATATTATCTTATGCTTAATATATTTTTTTCTGTGCTAACTTGAATTTAATATAAATTTATTTTCGTATATCACGTTTAACCGGTTAGTTTTACATCTACATGCTTATTATCTGTGAATTTTTACTACGATATCCTTAATATATTGTTTTGTCTGCTAACTTGAATTTACATGCACTAAAAATCACGTTTACGGCTCGGCTCATCATCGATGAACCGCGAACTTGACGAATAAAAATGCAACGGCGCCGACAGGTTCGTTCCCGAAGCGCCAACGGGTTCTCTGCGGATGAAACCCCTTTTTCATTTCTGTCTTTAAAGTAGCTTAATATAAGTGTTTTATGCAAATTAATTAGCATGCAAAATAGTTAGTTTTTATGGAAATTTGTTTGTATGACACAAATAGTTACTTGCTGCCGAACATGCAAAGTCACCAGAAATCACTGAAATTTCATTTCTTACACATATATCTTTATTCTGTATCTTAATTAGCATGCAGTTTAAGTTTGGGACAATTTTGATCATTCATAAATCAACAGGAACTTATATAATGACCATTATACTATATGCTAAATTGATAATTGTTTACACTACTAATTTAATTAATAAAAGGCTCTGCTGCTATTATTTTTTAAGCTTGACTTGAGGAATTATCATAACTTAGTCAATGTTTGCACTTTGTCTAGCAATAAATTTGCATTTGTTTCTTTTTTTAGACTGTGATTATCTGAGATAAATATCTTTCTAATTTATATGTCTTGTGCAACTATTATAACCTTTAAAGCAATTTATGTTTTCCTGTACTATAAAAAAAACTTTTTTTTTAAACAGGACTTTAAAGAAGATATTCCAGTTATCATAATTGAAGAGAATGCTGGTAAAAGTAATTTAAAATCTACAGAACCATGTATTGGCACGTGAGTGTGTAAAAAGTATAATTCTATGAATTCAGAACATTAAATGATTTATTGAAAAGATTGGATGAAATTATATTCACTTTTTCATTCTTTTTAGACATGTATCTCATACTTCAGACCTAGATATATTTATTATAACATCTCATAAAACTAACAAAAATAAAGAAAAAGTTATTAGAGCAGTTACAGGCAAACAAGCAAGAGTTGTTCAGATGGATGGTAAAGCATATGATGATACGATGTCACAGCTAGAGCAACATGTCACTTCTTGTTTGGAAAAATCAAAGGTAAAGTAAAATATGCACATTTAAAACATACTAATTTTTAGTTGTTTGTATATATTTTGGGATATTACTTTCTTTCATAATTATTAGTAATAATAAATATAATTTTGATGAAACAAAATCAAATGTTTTTATATTTCTAATATTAAAACATAAATAAATTGCAAAAAGCTAATAATCTGTCATTTTTTTTGTAGTTTTTAAAATAATGCTCCAGTTTCATGATTATACACATAAAATTCATTTTTTAACAATTTTGCAATTTTTTTTTTCAAAGGTGCAAAAAATTATGAGAGTTTGGTGATTTATTGGCAAATTTATATTTAAGGAAATTTTTAGGTGCTTTCAAAATTAATTAATTTGGTCACTATTTGCATTTATCGTCTTTATTACATCAAAATCAAATTCTTCCTTTTTGGATTATGATTTCCTCCCCCCCTTTACCCTATGCATCTCAAGCTTTGGCATTTTTAAGATCAGTTTGTCTATACAAATTTTGATCAATGATTAATTTGCAAATTTCATGATGGTTTTTTTTTTTTTTTTAACTTGTAATATTATTGTTACTATATCATTAAAGTAACAAAATGTATTCAAATTATATCTTTTAGAAAAATAGCATTAAAATAAAATATTTTAATTTCTATCCATCATGTCATAAAATGTCTATCTTTTATTTTAGTGATTTTTGAATATTTTATTCTGAAATTTAGACAAGATAGTTAAATGCTATAAAACACACATTTTTTTTTTAAATTATTTTTTAGTAAAAAAAAAAAAAAAGCTACTGTAATTTTGCAAAAATGATTTTCAGCGAGATATCTTTCCATATTTATAAGAGATATTTTACAATGTAATTGTTTTAAAATATTCAGATATATCATTTTTCTGCAGAAAATTCATTTTGTACTTTTTCTGATTTTTTCCATTTAAAATCTGATTTTTATTCTCATGAATGCATGTATGCAATCTGATGATGTGTTTGAGAAATTGATAGCTCTCAAAATTAGGATTAAACAATAATTATATTTAATTTGGCAGAACAAAATCAATTTTAAAAATAATTCTTGCATATAAAATAAATATAATAAATTGATATATATATATGTATATGTTTACGTCTGTGCGTAAGATAAAATTCTAAATTTAATTTATGATACTTCCTTAAGTCTCAGTACACTTATAATAAATCTTTCTAAAGCATGCCATTTCAAAAGTGATCTCTCTCCTGTGATTGTTATATATTAAATCACCTCTTTAAATATTATATGTATTATATATACATAGTATAATGTGTGGTTGCTTGCTAAGTTCTTTTTATAATAATTTAAATAGCAAAAATCAAAAAGCAAGAATCACTATTTTCCATATATAACATCTTTATTATTCTTTGTAGCCCTCACTAACTCACTGATTTTATGGCATGACAACCTTCTGAAACTAAACTGAAACTAAAGGTGAAGTGAAAGTAGTAGTCATTATCTAGTAGAAGTAGTTGTAGTTATTATTACCAATAATAATTGTTGCCTACATCACTCCCCTACCAGTAACAAAGTTACGTTACTCTGAAAACATGGTGGGAGAGAAGATACAAATATCTATACAAATAACACTGATACAAATATATAAAATGAAATTATGTACACACACAAAAAAACATAATTAAGTTTTAAATTAATATGAAAGAGTTATAAGTTCAAGAAGAGTCAATAACGTCATTGAAACGAACTGGAAGTTTTACTTGTCTTCCACATCGTGTTAATTTTTTAGGTTGTTCTAGTTGCTGACGTGGCACTGATGTGTGCTTACTTGGCACAGATGTATGATCACTTTTTGAAGTTGGAGACAAAAGTTCATTAGGTTGTAACACATAAGCTGGTTTTAACCTATCCACAGAGATACTAACTTGTTTATTTTTAATTGATAGAAGAAAATATTTCGGGGTCCTTTGCAGTACCAAAAAGGGTCCTTCATATGGGGGCTCCAAAGGTTTTTTTACTCTGTCAACCCGCAGAAACACGTGCGAGCATGTGTACAAATCTTTTGGGATGAAAATCTTTTGTTTACATTTGGATTTGGATTGATAGGGCTTTAAGAAGGGCCATCTGATTTCGAAGATTACTTACAAAATTATCATTAGATATTGGCATGTTTGATTCTTCAAAGAATTCGCCAGGTAATTTAATAGTTTTGCCATAAACCATTTCAGCTATTGTATACTTACAGTCCTCATGTAGAGCAGCTCGCAAACCCATAAGAACTGTTGGTAATGTTTCTGTCCAATGAAGAGAATTATGACATCTAATAGCTGCTTTTTAAAGTACGGTGTAGACGTTCAATTTTCCCATTACTCTGAGGATGGTAAGAAGTTGTATGGTTTACTTTTACTCCACATAGCGAAGCCAAATTTCGAAACAGTTCCGAAATGAATGGAGTTCCTCTGTCAGTAATAACACAAGAAGGTACACCAAATCGTGTTATCCAATGTTCATAAAAGGCTCTTGCTATATTTTCTGCTGTGATATTTGATAACGGTACCACTTCCATCCAAGAGGTAAACCGATCAATACACGTCAAACAATAAGTGTATCCATTAGAAGGTGAATAAGGCCCAATTAAATCAATGTGCACAACACTAAATCTTTCGTCTGGTGCTTGATATTGAGAATATTCTGATTTTGTATGTTTAGTTACTTTATTTTTCTGACAATCGATACAAGTTTGAGCCCACTGTTTAACATCTTTTTTTATATCCGGCCAAATGAATCTTTTAGTAATCTCTTTTACAGTACTTCGGATTCCAGGGTGAGCTAAACCATGAATTGCATTAAATATTTTCATCCGAAAAGTTTGAGGTATGAATGGTCTGATATTAGAAGTAGAGGTATCGCAATATAAGAGTTTTCCTGATGGTAATTGGTGCTGTTTAATATGCAATGATTTGGAATGTAATTTCAACTGTTGCAGTTCATCATCATTAATTTGTGCATCTGCTATCAGGTCAAAATCAACAACAGGTGAATCGATGTCCTCAATCCTAGATAGGCTGTCTGCAACCACATTGTTTTGACCACTTATATGGCGTAGGTTAGTAGAGAATTGTGAGATATATTGTAACTGTCTGAGTTGTCTGGGAGATGCTTTGTTATGATTCTGCTTAAAAGCAAACGTTAAGGGCTTATGATCCGTATAAATAGTAAAATCGCGGCCTTCAAGTAAATGTTTAAAGTGTTTAACGGATAAATATATACCCAAAAGCTCGCGATCGTAAGCGCTATAATTTTTCTGGGCATCATTAAGCTTTTTTGAAAAAAATGCAATAGGTTTCCATCCATTTGGTTCTTTTTGTTGAATAACTGACCCAATAGCCAAATCGGATGCATCTGTGAGAAGTGCCAGAGGGTAATCCGAATTGGGGTAGGCCATCAACGCTACTTGAGCAATATCTTGTTTACATTTTTCAAAACTTTTTCTGGTTTCATTGGTCCATAGTATTTTACGTCGATCTTTTTTTGTAGATCCTTTCAAAAGTTCATGAAGAGGAGCTTGAGTTTCTGCGGCATTTTTAATGTAATTACGATAGAAATTGATCAGTCCTAAGAAGGAACGAAGTTGGTGTATAGTTTCTGGAAACGGATATTCTGTGATAGCTTTAATTTTTTCAGGTAGAGGTTTTGAACCTTCAGCAGATATTTGATAGCCCAAAAAGTCTATTACAGGTACTCCCAAAACTGATTTGCTAATATTAATTCGGAGACCATATTTATCTAAACGCTGGAAAATTGTTTTAAGATGTAAACGATGTTCTTCCTCGCAAGAAGAGGCAATCAAAACATCATCCAAATATGGAAACACAAAGTCTAGGCCATAAAAAACTTCATTGATGAACCTCTGAAAGGTCGCGGGGGCATTTTTGAGACCAAAACTCATGACATTGAATTGGTAAAGACCAAAAGGTGTGATAATAGCAGTTTTTTTCTTTATCTTCATCTGCTACTGGAATGTGAAAATACGCTTTAAAGAGATCAATTTTAGAAAATATAGTTTTATGAGTTAAAATATGTTGAAAATCTTGAATTCGAGGAATGGGATAACGATCAGGTACAGTTAAATCATTCAGTCTTCTGTAATCCCCACATGGGCGGAAAGAACCGTCTTTCTTTGTCACTATGTGTAGGGGACTTGCCCATTCTGAACTGGACGGACTAATGATGTTATTGTCCAGCATATATTTGAATTCTCTTTTAGCTATTTCCAACCGTTTAGAGTCTAATGGTCTTGCTTTACAACTTACAGGTTGTCCTTTAGTTATAATATGATGTTTCACATTATGCTTTACAGTAGAAATAAGAAAATTTGGTTTTGTTATACTAGGATACATAGCAAATAAATCAGAATATTTACATAAGCTGCCCGTTGTATTTACAGTTTCATGAATAGAGATGGGTGCGATGTCACCATAAACTGCAAGGTTCGTCACACCACCATCAATTAGCCTTTTATGCTTTATATCAATCAATAAATTGAACTTATTTAAAAAATCTGCACCTAATATGGGTTTACTAATTTTTGCTACAATAAATGGGAATTGAAATTCTCGGCGTAAACCAAGATCAAGAATTAAAACTTCTGTACCAAAAGTATCAATTTCTGTATTATTTGCAGCATATAATTTATAGTCACTAATAAGTTTGTGTTTAGAAGTACGAGGAATAAGGCTTACCTCTGCTCTCCACTGTCAACCAGAAAATGTAAACCTGTTTTTTTGTCCGTGATAAATAAGCGGAATTTACGGCAATTTTCTTTATTTACAGCAGCAGAGTCTGCCGCTAATTCTACTGCTGATTTTCGTTTTCCGAGGAGCTGTTTTTTCCATGCACAGGGGGGTTTGCATCTATCAGGAAAACACTTTTTTCTCGAAAACGAAAGTGGAAATAACAGTACTTGCCATTAGGGTTATAACGGCTCCGAGATTTACTTCGATTATTAGATGATCGACTGCTATTTCTTGAGCGAGAACGAGAATTTCTTGTGACAGTTAGTTTTTCGACTTTATTATCCAAAGCTGCAATTTGTTGTCGTAATTCAGCAATAGCATCTGTTCCTGGAGAAACAATACTGCTGGCACAGTATAGTTCTTGTTTTGGTTGCATTTCGATGATACGATCCGCCATCAGAGCTAGTTTTTCGATATCTTCATCACTAACGATTAAAATATTGCGCACAGTATCTGGCATTTTCTGCAGAAATAGTGTTTTAAGAACTTTATCCGAAATGCCATCGGTAGCAAGATTTCGCATTTTTTGTAAAAGTTGACTAGGTTTACTGTCTCCCAAGTCTATGCCTGTTAGCAGTCTCTGTAAACGTTTATTTTCACTTTCTTTAAAAGTGTTCAAGAGACGTTCTTTAGCAGCAGTATATTTGGTTTTGCTATTGTCACTTATAATATCCCATAAACTTTCAACAAATTTTGCTTCCAATTGCGATACTAAGTAGTTGAATTTAGTTTCCTCGGCAGTTATTCCACAAATAGAAAACTGTGCTTCTACTTGATAAAACCATATCTCTGGCTTTTCAGCCCAAAAGGGAGGTATTTTAACACTTACCCGTGCTATTTCTTCTTTAATCGCCGATTCTTCACTTTCTGACATCTTTATCAATAATTCCGAGGTCACCAAGTATGTGGTTGCTTGCTAAGTTCTTTTTATAATAATTTAAATAGCAAAAATCAAAAAGCAAGAATCACTATTTTCCATATATAACATCTTTATTATTCTTTGTAGCCCTCACTAACTCCTTACTGATTTTATGGCATGACAACCTTCTGAAACTAAACTGAAACTAAAGGTGAAGTGAAAGTAGTAGTCATTATCTAGTAGAAGTAGTTGTAGTTATTATTACCAATAATAATTGTTGCCTACAAATGTATGAAATCTGGACTTAATGGGACTTCGGCAATTCTAGATTTTAAATCTAATAGGTTGTGTGTAGATGATATAAAATTAAAGGTATGAAATAGCTGTTTGTGAAATAATGATGTATTTATGGCTTTAAAAGAATCAAAATTTATGGGGAAAAAAAAAGAACCTTAGTATTTATTTGTTTGCTGTATTAAATTCAATGTAATTTGTTCCCTTTGCTTCATTTTTGTGCTATTTCTTTCTCTTTAATTTTACAGATAGATAATTTTTTGTTTAGTTACAAAGTTCTATTTACCTGCAGCTGCCGCATCAAGAATTCCCACTGACTGTCAATCGAAGCTTTTTTCTTTCTCAGCAATCTCTCTGTTACTTTTATTATAAGTAGTGATATAGCCTGGATTTAAAACCATGCATCAGATTTTGCTGTCCAATGGAGTAATTGATCATTGAGGCATTGTCATCACAATGAAGTACTTCTATTATGTCTTCGTCATTTATTTCCATTTCTTCACTAATTCCATTAATTGTAAAATTTTACTTTTTGTTTACGATATACAAAAACCTTCAGATTTGTGGCTTTGAAGACACTTTTATTATTATTTACATGTTCTGCCCTAAGGCACTACATAAAAGGAAGGGTTGCCTTTGTGGAGGACTTTCTAAGGGAACTGGCACATATTGTACATTACACATGGGCAAAACCATGAAAACGACCATGCAGCCAGCCAGTTCACAGAATTCAAACTTCAAACCAACTACCAGTGTTCAGGGACTTGACTGCTCGGCCACTGGTGGGCCTTAGCAGAAGGCTTAGCTAACATCTACTATATAGAATTGGTAATGTATCAAGAGGTTGGCAACTAAAGACATGTTGTTCAGTTAAATTTTGTCTTGCTTCTTTTGTATGCTGAGGATGGTTATTAGGTTATTCAATTACCGCAAAGCATATCTGCCTAAGGTCTATTTGCCTAAGGGGAGGGATGCCTTCGTGGAGGACTTTCTAAGGGAAACTGGCTCGTATGCACGTAACACATTGTATGCTGAGGAAGTTAAGACTGAATTATATTTATTTAGTTTTTACTTGCACTTACATCTATGTTCCATGTATGCTTAGAGCTTATCCGAGTACTGAATAAATAAATTCTTACATATATTTAAGGCTTGTCACGACAACAAATCATTCTTATTCAACACACTGAACACTTCACACTACAATTGACTGTTTTAAGTTTGTACTCTGAAGTCTGTAATCATTGTCAAGCACAATGTGAATATAAAGTTTGCCGTGTAGTTTGGTATTCAGTTACTCTTATTGTTTTAGATATCACTGCTTGTCATTTCTGAAGCCGCCATGAGTTGAGAGTCATGTACTGATCAAAGCAAAAAATAATTCAAAATTATTCGCCAAGTTGATGTCGTGGTTATCTTATTCAATAGGTATACAATCAGCAAGCAATTTTGTTAGAATATTTTAGTTTGTGATATATGCGAAGCAGAAAGGTGGCTATGAAACCAAATTATTGATAATTTATTTATGTTAATAAATGATTGTGTTTCTTCAACATAGATGCCTTTTATTTGGTGGCAAAGTAAAATTAAGAATCAGGATCCATCATATGCTGTATTATGAAAAAATATGTACTGTGCATGCATTAAGCATAGCAAGGTACTTTTGTTAGAAACTCTTTCTCCCTTTTCATAAAAAATTTCATGGAAAATAATTGGTGGTGGTCCAGAGGTTTGGATGTTGCATGTTATGATTTGAGATATTGTACTGTACATGTATTATAAATTTTTTTATGTTATTTAACTTAAAATTTTGTCAAAGATCCCACATAGTTCTAAAAGCTAGCTTTTTTTAACACCACTTCATAACGTTATTAATCTGAATTAAAGTCAAATATTATATTCTTTATGATAATTATTATAATCTTCATTTTTGCTATAGGTAGACTATTTGGAATTGTGGGATTGTTTGAAGGAAGTAAAATTAGCAAAGGTGAGTATGTACATGCTATGTTTAAAAATCAGTTCAAGAATTGAGACAACATCTGAATGCAATAATATAAATGCTGTCATATTTTCATACAGAACATATTTATTTATTTTCAGGGATATCATGAAACTGAACTACCGTTTCTTTTATTCAGGGACCATCAAAATAAATTAACTGAACTCACAAAAAAATTAACAGAGGCCACTGATGTTTTTGTACAAGATGGTTTTCAAAAGGTAAAATAATTTCAGTTAAATGTTACAGTCGAACCCAGTTTATAACGAACCTTCTCTCTCCCTGAATATAACGAATGAACCTTTTGGTCCCATCCAGTTTCCTAGACATTGAATGTTATTTTACACTATTATAGCAACTCTCCAAAAGTATTGAAAATCATTTGCAACAAACTTTATAGATATCTTTGATTCAAATTTTTTTAAAAGTATTCTTATATATTTTTTCCAGAATTTTGCAAATTTTAACGAAAAAATTATTAATTGAGGAATGCATCCGCATTTAGAGTATTAGGGTCTACATTTTATAAACACTACACATTCCTTCCAGAAAGGAAAACACTTTTATTTTATTTTGATTTTACCTCTTTAATTTGTATTCTAAACAAAGGTAGCCCTAAGAGAATGAGAATACAATGAGCATATCTTAGAAAATTATGTGGTGTACATGACCACTAAATCAAAAAATGTGAACAGATTCTTTGATTTTATTGAAATTCTTTGATTGAGCTGCTAGATAGAATTGTATTCAAGGTACAAATTTTGAAATTTTCATTATTCAGGGAAAGAGGAAGGGATGAAACTGGTGAAACTTTTGAGCTTGTGGTTTTACAACTGATTCTTCTTTTAAGGCTTTTAGGGAGTGAAAATTTGTTATCTTTATCAGTTAATTTTGTTTGGGTTCGAAATGCTATCCCAGTTCTATCCTTTGAGTAGGGGTTTTGCTTTCTATACTTCTTATGCAAGACATACGGTATTCTATATAAAGGTTATTGAATCTTTTTATTGTTGTCATGCGAATCTTGGGGGAAATAATTATATTGTCACTAGAGAATAGATAAGACACTATAGACAAAGACAATTTTTTTTTTTTCTTTTTATCTTTCAAGAAGAGCAAAACTCTAATATATTCTTTAACCAAACTCTCTGCACTCTCTGTGTAAAAAACTCATCTGCACAACAAGCTGTAAACTTAAAGCTTTTGCATTGAAAATAAGGTGATCAGTATTAAAAAAATACAGAATGGATGAAGCCAAATTGATATCTTTCAGGAATACAGTTTACCTAAATCTACACTAGGTACCATATGAGAAATCAAAACTGAATAGTTTCTACTAATGGACAAAATTAGGATATGAAAAAAAAAGTTGAGAAAGGTTGAGCATAAAGTTAAGCAGCATTGTTGAAATAATTTTCCATTCAAAGAAGCCATCGTCTGCCAATATCTGGTCAAATGCTTCAAGCAGAACCAGTGAATTTCCCAGATACTATGGACAAAATAGAGAAGAAAGACTAACAAATTTAATAACCGCATATAATAATAATAATTGCAGTTAAATCTTAAAATGGCTTTTTTAAGAATTAGATTTATTCTTCTCTTCTTTTGGTAGAAGCTATTTTTAGCTAAAAGGGCTGTTGGTGTCAAAATAACATTTTGCGTCATTTCACTTTCTGCATTAATTCACTTTTCCAACTGGTGCCATCACGTATTATATTTAAAGAAACTAAATAAAGAAGAATCTGCATGAATGCTTCTTCCATTGTGAAAAAAGAAAGGTTCCTAGAGCCGTCAAATTTTGAATAACGTAGTCCTGAAACCAAACATGGGCATGTGGAAGCCTGAATTTTTAATTTTGAACTTGTTTTATTATCTATTTCAAATTTTGTAAAACTGTAAGAATTTTTGATTAACCCTTGACATACAAATAAAATTCAAAGCTAATGAGCTTAAAAATTACAGGAACAAAGCTTTGCACCCTAAGAACAAACACTCTAAATATATATAATAACTTTATAATTTCATATTTTATAATCCTAACACATTTTTAAGCGACTGTAATTTTGTGAGGATTGAGATGTATCAAAATCTGCTTTAACATTAATAATAAATGACACATTCCAGATCTCATTATATGTCAAAAGGTTAACAAACTCAACAATTTCAAAGCAAGCAATGGCAACGCTGTACGGGGGGGGGGGAATATCTCCAGCGCGCAAATCTGTCTGTTGGAATTTCTAAAGATATGCTGTTTTTAAATATTTGTGATATTGCTGTTGAATTTTATGTGGTTTATTGCTAAGGGCATGATATTTAATAAATAAAGGTAACACATAAAACATTAAAAAATGCCCTTTTTGCATAATATAAAATCTAAAAGCTTTCAGATTTTCTTTTTTTTTTTCTTTTTCTTTTTTTTTTTTTTAATCATTATTATTCATCTTTCAGTTTTTCATGTTTATTATGAGATAATCCATTTTTTATATCATATCAGATTTAGTTAAACATTGGATATAGCAAATTAAATTTCCGGCCCCTTGAAGTTTGTTATAGTAGAGTTTGGCTGTGTTATTTTTATTTTTTTTTTTTTTGAAATAAAAAAAGAGCATTGTCATATTGATTACTAAAATGCATGGCAAACTATTATTTTCAAGTGAAGTTACTATTTTTAAGAAAAAAATGATTTTGTATGTTATTTTATCTTAACAATACAGTTTATTAAATTCTATAATAGCTATTAATAAATTTATTATTTATTAATTTACTGTTTACTAGGTATTGGAGTAAATTTATTTATAGCTATTATAAATTTACTATTTATTAATAGAGTCATTTTATGAGAAAGATTTAATTAAGACTTATCACATGCTTACATTGCATAAAAACCTTTATAAGGCTATCATGTATGCTTAAGTCTATGTTTAGTGACATACAGATTTAAAATTTCTGAAGAAAATACCTTAATTCAAATGTATAAAAATTGTAAAATTTAGACTTGCATAATATAAGCTCAGAATAATTTTTAAAAAATTGAAGGAACTATCTTGCTTATTTACTACAAAAGGCTTAAGTACTTTGTGATTTAGGATACAATAACACACCAAACAAGTATTAAGTTAGAAGTCAAACAACAAAAATCAGCATTATATTTTCTAATTTTCACAGTAGTAGTTTTGACGGTTTTACCGAACCATCATCCTCAGCTGCAAAAGCACAAATGAATGAGATAAGATCTAGTGATTAATCTAATCATTATATCTTATCTTGTTCATTTGCACCTTTGCAGCTGAGGATGATGTTTCAGTAAAACCTTTGAAACTACTCCTGTGAAAATTTGAAAATATAATGCTGATTTTTGTTGTTTGACTTCTAAATTAATAGTTTGTGATTTGTTTTTCTGTATTGAATTAGTTTGTTGAAAATATTCTTTACCTGGGTCTTAATTAAATGAAAACTGTTTTTCTTGAAAATAAAACTGTTTATTTTTATGATAATTATTTTTACGTAAGAAAGCACAGTTTTAATTTTTTTTTTAAATGTTAGAGTTTTATGACTTCAGTATTTCATATATTTGTAAGTGTCCTAATCTTGCTAAGATTAAGTGTTTCTTGTTACAAATTTGTTATGGCAGTCTTCTGTTCTGTTGAACGTTCATGTTGTTCAACTCTTATTTTAACATCTTTTAAATTCTGTAGCTTTTGGTAAGAGAGATCTCAATGAAAGAATATTTACATTTGTAATAATAAATTCATGCATTTTATTTATTTTTTTTCCTGTACTGAAACTGGGCCATAGACATTTAACTTATTTGCCTGTTAGTTATTCTATCATTGATTGTAAACTATGCATATTAAAAATTTAAGGGAATGTAAAAAGAAATATCTGAAAAGTTTAAATTAGCAAAATAATAAAATTCCATTAACAATTTTTTATGTAATTTTATATAAGATATAATACCAAAATATTGTTCTGATTCAAATTAATATGGTATATTTCTTATATGAGGTGTTAAGGGATAAATAATAAAAATTATCCCATGAATATTAAATTTATTAAGTGTAATGTATCTTGTTAATTTGTAGGTAAAGTCTGAGATGGAATTAGTTCTAAAAGATTACTCTAATGAAAAATTTATCGTTCACAAACTTCAGTCTGTTGGTGATGGCAAAAAGATAATTAATTTTGCTCTAGAAAATTCAGGAGGGAAACCTGCATTGTATTTTGCCCAAGATGGTCACAAAACTGTTATTTGCTCATGTGTTGTGCCAGAGGTAAGTTTAATTTCTGTGTAAAATTCAGTAAATTATCTGATATAACTAGTGATTTGCTGTCTTTAGAGATGCTAATTCTGGAAAAGTTGTTTTAATCCTCATAAATAAGTCACATAAAATTTTAACTTCCTATGTTTGTATATTCATCTGAATAACATTTTGCCTCTGTTTTCGCAAAAGTGTTTTTGAGTTAAAATAGTCATTATAATAATATGTGACAAGAACTATGTGATGTTCTTTAAATATTCTATTAAGCTTATCAATAAATTTGAAACTTTTTAGTAATGTAAAAGTGATTCTTGTATTTTCAAAAATTGCAAAAGGAAATCTCATCTTTATATTTAAGAAATTCCTTATCAGTAAATATAAATGAATTTTGCATGTAATTATGTCATTGCATCTACTGATCTGGTATCCATAGTTTTCCCTGTATATAGTTTATAAAGCTGGCTTTCCCAGAATGAGTTGCATAAGTTTTAAAATCTGTGGTGTAACATTATGAAGTACAACTGTTGAAGCAGACCCATTACTACTTTCTCACAGTAACCATATATTTGCATACATTTTTTGGACTGATGCCCTGAAGTATGGTTATGGAAGTGATTTGAGATGTTTTCAAATTACAGGAAATCCCTTTGGATTTAATGATGCTTGGCTCACATCCCAGTTTTTGATTGCCACAGAATTTTTCACAGGGTGTCACGGTTACCAATGATGAAAGATTATGTAATTCATCTCCATTTTTGTAGCCACATTTTGTTAAATTTGTCTTTATTCTCATTTGTGCCATATTATCAGAGTTTTTGCTTTTACAAAGTTCGTGCATTGTGGTAAAGCATAAATGTTATGCTGCATGGTATGGAGGAAGGAAAAAGCTTTGAATTTTTATTGGAAAGTATGGGTAGTGAGATTTTTTAATGCTACAAGTTGGAAGCTTTTGCAAGGACCTTTAAAAGGAAGGCATGCTGAAAGAGGAAATTCAATCTTTTACACAAGCAGAGGATGCTTGCTTTATTATAGAAGGGAATTTAACTTCATAAACATTAAAACTTTATGAATTCAGTCACTTTCAGACACTGGTTTTCTCATAAAATATATCTAAAATTTTAAATTTGGCATTATTATTTTATTTCTTGTATGACTTATTGCTATGATTTGTTGAACACTGTATTATATCAAGGAAGATGACAAGCATGCCAGTCAGAGTTTAAATTGCACCGGAGCCCACTGGAGTTCAAGTCTGGTACTTCTTAGTTTTTGGGACATATTCTAATTCTAGTCAGAGCATACCGGAGCCCTAAAAGAAGGCTCTGGCGCTTTTTTATGTAACTTAACAATTATTTCAGTAGAAATTTGATCTAGAAAATTTTATTTTTAGCAATAAAATTAATGAAAATCACTTATTAAATTTTAATTTATCTCTTTACATTTTATTTAATTTAATTATTTAATTACTTTAATCTTTAATTATTTAATAAATAATAATTAATTATGAATCAATAAAAACTATAAATATTAACATAATTAAATAATTATTAATTAGTTTGATACTCACTAACTATTTAATTTTTAAATTATTTATGATTTTTATAGTCATTTTTTCTATTTATTTACTCTTGCTCTTCATTCCTGATAGTCTTCCATAGGGCTCCAGCACTTCTACTTTTAGAAATAAAGCCCTGATGCCAGTGTAAGATTTAAAATTAGGCTAAATGGTCTTTTTATGTTTGGCATAAATTTTAATCAAAACTGTATCAATTTTGAGGGCGATCAGGCACAAGTCCTTCTTTGTCAAGCCAAAAAAAAAAAAAAAAAAAAAAAAAAAAGGAATTCTGCAGCTGTTTCGCCTAATTTTAAACTGTTTTATTTCATGGCAAAATAATATAATACATCAGTTCACATCAATATATTTTTTAAATGCACATGAATAATTTTATTAATTACTTGCAGCAATTTGTTCAGTCATCATTTTCTGCACTTTTGTGGATCAATCCTGTAGCAGCACTACTAAATGGACGGGCACGAAGCCTAGCCAAAGATCCAACATTAGTATATTCTGTGATATGTGAAAGAGTAGACAGAGTTGATGAAGCTATTGATGTAGCAAAACAATTTGTACAATCACATTTAAATTAATTCTGTATAATTTATTTCACTTTACATTAATGAAATAAACATATTCTAAAATTTTATTTACGTTTTTTTAAGTTATCAGGTCTTAAATTTCTCTTATGTTTCTTATTTAAAATTCTTTCAACTCTTTTTTTTATATATATTTTTAGTTTATTTTTATAAGAAAATAGTGATATTTGCAGAAACTATTTTTTTGTTTGCCCTTAAATTCTCTGTAAGGAAACTCAATGTATTTTGAACTATTTTTTTGCTTGGCCTTCATTTCACTGTAAGGAGACCTAATGTATTTTGAAAACTATATTATAATCTTCTGCTTTCTTAATTTTAAAATGATTTAATTTCTTGTAAATAATTCTAACAGAAGATGACAAAAATTTAGTTATGAAAGATTTGCACATTTAAGGTACTTAAATAGTAAAAACCCTTCTCGGTGTATTCCGAATGAATTTTTTCCAATTCTTTGCAGAAATTATTTAATGGGCCAACTCCTGGTGATGACAGTCTTCTGGGAGATGGTTTCTGAAATTTAGATGTATGTAGAATATAATGATTTTTATATATTTACTAATTTTTTTAGACAATGTTTTGGCATTTAAATGATAAGACTCTTAATTTTCTTCTATATTTCTCTAAATTCATTTATGCCATTCATAAGTTTAGTGCTTTTAAAAGCAATACTTGTACAATAAGTAAGAATTGAATACTTTTTCTGGTAATTACCGGTCCATATTTATTTCTTAACACAATTTAAATGAAAGTAAAACATTCATAAGAAAAATTTTGAAACATATTTTATGTAAAATGTATTACAAAAAATGAATATGATCAAAATCGTTTAAGCAAAAATCTACTCCTTGTGAAAACTAGACTAAAATATTAGGGTATACTCGATACTGTTCTATAAAAATTTTTGTCATTCATGTATACCTTTAAAAAATACTATGGGTTATTTTAAATGGATCTACTCCTACCAGAGTTTGTATAAAGAGTTCTATTTTAGTGTCAAATAAAAGTGTCAATGATCTATTTTAGTGTCAAATAAAAGTTTAAATTTCCCATTTATTAAATTTTAATTATATTGCTGCTGCATCTGTGTAAGATGATCTAAATGATATTAAAAGTGTTTTTGTTAATGATTACAGAAACACTAAAAAAAAAAAAAAAAAAAGTTCAGATTTTAAGAACAATATACACTTGAGTTATTAAGTAATTTTTTGAAATATATTAATAGTGTTTAATAAGTGCAAGGATTAAATAAACACCTCTGTTATAAGTAAGTGTAAGAAATAAAAATATCATAAATAATAAATAAGGTATAATAATAAATGGGTAAGTGTAATAAATAACTGCTTATACCGTGTATTTATGAACAGAATACAAAAAAGGCAAATGCGAGTAAATCGTAAAAGAATACATGTTCAACATCACACACTGGTTAAATATAAAGTCTGCTACATTGGTAAATATATACACTGCTGGTTTAATATAAAGTCTTAGATGTGGTGTGGTGTGTTATTAATCCTACCTGATAAATAATATTTAGGTGAAAGGCCAGAAAATGTGAATAGTTAGTAGATTTAACACAGGTAAATGCTGTTGAGCATCTTCTAATTATCCCCAAAACCTGAAACCACATTATAAGTCTGAAAACAACAAATTATCTTTGCTGATTGGGATCTTTAAGACATGATTTTGTAAACCTTTTAACGGCAGATAGCCTAATCGTAAATTTAGTGTTGTCAAGAATAAAGCCTTTATTTTGGACAATATATTTTAGATTATGTTTTACTAGTTGTGGTTTTGATTTCCATAAATGAGAAAGAAATTTTGTTTTTGGAATCATGAGGACAAATTGTTTTGATTAAGTCTTGTTGCTGATAACTCATGAACAGTTAGAGTGCCACATTGGCCATTAGGTATTAAAACAGATACTCACTGAAAGTTAAGAACAGAGCTACAATTTTGCTTAGCTATCTGATTAACTTGTATTTTATGTTCAGTTTCAAAATGAAGCACACGTATTACTAAACTAAATACTTTATTGCACAAAATTGTTTTATCATGAAAGTAAATGTATATATACTTTCATTTATACAAATCTAATTTCTTTTCTAGACAATTATTTCTAGAGTTTGGTTATCAATATATACTTGTACATCCAGGATCTAGATTCATTTATACATTCATTCTAATCGCTTAAATGAAGCACAGGAATCTTATGTTTATTATTGCTCTATGAAGCATAATTATATTAATAACCTCTGGAAATGTGCTAATTATAAATTTTGTTCATAAATATCAAATAACATGCATGATCTAATAGAAGTTTTTCTATCTTTTCTTTTTAGCTGCATAAAATGCAGCCATATTTCGTTTTTAAAATAAATATATTTATTATTTTTTTAATAATATAAATGGCTTTTTAAACTGTGTATTTTAATTATGTGATATAATTGCTGTAATACTGAATACTATAATACTGCAAAATTACAGGTAATTGTGAGATTTTATGGAAGTTGTCAAATTGATTAGAATTTGCTCATAAATCATATTATTTAGATTATTCCTAGATTTTTTTAAATAGTGTTAATTGCATAAATAATTATGTTAACACTATTTATGCAATTGAAAGTACATTAAAGATTCTAGGATTAATGATTAGGGTAACATTGTTATAATTATTAATATTTTTCACTGAAATTTCCATGAATATTCTGGCTGATTAAGTTATCATGTTGCAATTTAATTTAATTTTTGCAAGTTATATATAAAAAAATACTTTTCCCTAGGAACAAAAACCAGTTTTTTAGCTTTGTACAAATTCTTATATTGTAACTACAGTCTAAGCCAAAACTCTAGGTAAAAGCAGGCATATTAATTATAACTTTTGATGGTCATTCTAGTAATTATTTAATGTTCTTGTTACCACCTGTTAGATTTAAAAATTATTGAACTAGCTGCCTAATTGCTCTCTAAAGCATCGCCTTCAAACTGTGTATATGAATAATAAATACATTACTCTGTTATATAGATAACTAATCAAAAACAAAATTTTAACAAAGACTGTGCTTGAAGATCTTCTTCAAGATGTTAGTCACAGCTGTAAAATTTCTTCCCATTCTACTCGAAGCTATAAAATATCTTCTGACAAACACTGCTTAAATATGCAAAATCCTCTAGTTTCTGCATAAAATCTTGACTTGTTTCAAAGCAACCATCTTCTTCAATCGTATCAGTTACTTTTGCTTAGCCATACATAAAGCAGGCTTATGCTTGTGTTTATTGCTTGCAAGGATTTTTTTGGTATCATTTGATTCTGATTTCTTATCTGCTTTCATAGACTTCTTTCATTTTTAAGAACAGCCAACTTGTTCTACCAAGAACGTTCAATATAATCTAGCGTGTGGCGACATGGAGAGGATACCAAAGGTTGTGCCTAAAGTGGATATAATAAATACCCATAGCAAGAATCTGTCGATAATGAGAGCCACTTGCTGCCACTCTGATTTGATTTTGTCTCGCCTGTCCTGTTCAGCTGTTCGAATTTCATTCCTCTCTATAGTTTGGTAGACCTTTTCCAGTACCTTCAAGAACTGTATCTCAAAATTTTCTATAGGGTTTTTAATTGCTCTATGTAGATTTGTGATACAGTTATTGCTACAGCGAAACTTTGGAGAAATGCCACCATTTTCACAGTAGTCTCGTTCTGGCATAATCTTTGTAGTAGGCACTCTGTGAAACAACTGAAATTTAACAGACAGTTAGGAACTGAAGTTTATTAGATATAGATAAAAAATAATGGGCTAAAACATAGATACACGCATCACAAATAATTACAGTGAAACTTGACAGTTGAGAATATTGTATTTCTTTCTACAGGCATTTAGGAATTGAACTTAACAGACAGTTAGGAACTGAAATTTAACAAACAGTTAGGAATTGAGGTTTGTTAGATAGAGTTAGAAAAAATGGACTAAAATATAGACACACACATCACAAACAATTACAGTGGAACTTTGATTATCTGTTAGTCTTGAAATCATCATCATCGTGATGGATAACAGAAACACTTCCTCTTCCTACCATAATGCATTTTATAGTCTGAGGATAACGTTCAAGGTTATAATTGAAAAAAAATGGACTAAAATATAGACACACACATCACAAACAATTACAGTGGAACTTTGATTATCTGTTAGTCTTGAAATCATCATCATCGTGATGGATAACAGAAACACTTCCTCTTCCTACCATAATGCATTTTATAGTCTGAGGATAACGTTCAAGGTTATAATTGAAATTAGCTTTTTGCCTTCCTTATTTTTACGTACAATACAAATTGTAATATTAATAAATGCATAATAATACATATATCAAACAGTATCTATAACTTTATAGATATTGTTTGAAATATGTATTATATTATGCAGCCTTTATTTTTGCAAGCCTTCGTTGTTGACATTACTTTTAATTACAGAAATGTTTTATATGATGCAAATATTCATACCTTAGCATTTTAAAATTTAAAATAAAAATCAGTGTTATAAAAATTATGAAAGCTAACATTTATAAAATGTATGATCCTTTAGTTATACTTATGCTTTAAAAAAAAGTAACTCGTGTGCGACAAAAATTTGCTGAGATATTTACAATTTCAGATCGTGCTTTCTAAAAATACAAGTGTCATACAAAAATGGAAAAGCAAAATATGTACATTTCTATGCAATTAAAAATAAAACATCAGTTCGTTAAAAAAAATTACATTAATAAATTAAGTAGTGAACAGTGATATACAGACATTTTCGAAAAATTTTGTTCAACTTTTTTTTTCTTTCCTGTAGGAAGTTTTATTTCCAGGTTAATCTTGAATTCATTTCTAAAAAATAGTGGTGAGCTTGAAGCATTGGCACACAGCCAACTAAATTTAACTCTTAAGGAAAGTCATTACACTCTAGTATATCACATAGTAGTATCCCTGAATGACAATAACTATAAAGAAAAATGATCTCTTACATACATGTTTTAATGTTACAAATATGCATTGTATTCATGTAATATTTTCCCTTCTATTTTAGTTGATTTATACTGTGCTTTCCATTTTTAAATGCAGAAGTGTGTGATTAATAAATACAAGTGCAAGTGATTAATCAATCAATTAATTTTTAATGGGTTAGATAACAATTCCTGACAATTTGATTTAATAAATTATCAAAAATTTATTAATGTTTGAAGTAATTTAGAGAATTCAGAAAAAATATTCTTACCGAATTGGCTGAATCAAATGTGTCAGGATACTCAACCCGTATGAAGAGAATTTTAGCCAAAATGCTAAAGACAAACTTTTTAACCATAGGAGGGACTTCTCCTCCATGGATGCCTCGATGATGGATGTTTAATGTAACCACAGACATTGCTGTTGCAAGTGAAACTAAAGTCATAACAACTGCATAGTAAAGCCCTAAAGTGTAAACAGGGGAAAAACAATTAACTACAGGTGAATTAAATAATATAAACCATAATTCAAATGAAATCTTCAAACATTTTTCTTTCTATAATTTTTGAAAAAGGAATTTACATTTTGAAATTAACAAAACTTACTTATTATCTGCACCCTTATAAAAATCACCAACTCATTGGCAACTTTGTGAAATACTGAAAAATATTTGTTTGGCTCTCATAAGTACCATTTTCTTCATAAATAACAATAAGATAAGGTGTTTAATGAGAAGAAATTTTTGGTTAAGGAAATTTATATAACCAATATTTACATTTTACTATGATGCTGTTCAGCTATGGCCTTCAAAATTCCTTCAAAACACTGTTTTTTTCTTAATGGTTTTTTTTTTCAAATTTCAAATAAATGGATCCAAAAAGATCTAAAGGTAATTCAATGTATACTGTAACATGTATCTGGTATGTGCATGTGTTGGTTGGCTGTTCTTGTATATGTACTCGAGAATATACCATAATGCAGTTCTGCGGAATGTTGAAACTGGAAGTTTGGATAGTCAGAGATTATTAAATTAACCAAGTAGATAATCACCAAATATTTTGAAATATAAATAATGTTTACTTAATTCACTTTCACTGATAATCTTCAAATTGGGGGACAGTGTATAAATTTATTTAGGATAAAGGAGTGTGGCGGACCCGGGAAGCAGTTTTTAATTGATGGTTCACTGCCTTTTGTGTTTAGCTAAGGTTAGCTCATGGCGACTTCTATAGACTATATTGAATATATAGAATATATTGAATTAGAAGTGTGATGCGAGAGTCTCGTTGTGCTTGGGAACCAAGTTTTCTGTTGAGGCCAGAACCCAAGTTTATTCTGTGTGAGTGAATTGCTTTACCGTTGTCACAAAATAGCTCTCATGGGATGATTTCAAGAATTTCAACTGATTCAAATTTTCCAGCATTGAGTTCCTCTGCCCAACATCTGTTGTGCGATATCAGGAAGTACAGTTTGTTATCGTGATTTGTGTCCATAAGTTTGAGGCTTGGCTTGCAAACCCATTGCTTTGATATGTTCAATTGTTTCGTTTGTGGTTTGTTGTTCTGTTTTGTTCATTAGGCATGGCTAGTTAGGCCCACTGAACACTTGAAGAGCCACACGCCATTGATGGTGCGATTGACGTAGTTCGTCAGTTCACTAGATAGGCGAATGGAGAAGGTATATGTTTTTGTCGCTTTTGAGGGGCACCACTGTGGTGACCGGTAAGAGCGGTTGTTGATTAATAGTAGGGTAGATTATGCTTTGCTGCTGTAATTGGCTGACATCTGCTATACACTATTGGCGATGTATTTTGAGATTGATGACTAAAGATTGGCAATGGAAAGAGGAGAAGAAAATTAATTGGCTACAAATTTTACAAAATTAATTTCTTCGTGTTATAACTGGAGCCCTTTGGTTTCTCAGAAGCAAGAATCTGCATAAAGCCTTTAAGATTGATTACATTAAGAACTACCTCAATAAACTAAATGAAAATTTCTACTGTAATGCTAAAACAAATCATGCTGCAAATAATGCTGAAATTTTAAACTATAGAATTATTCTGGACGATTACTTTTCCAGACCGTATGCAGCACATCTGTCTATTCAATACATTAACCGTTATACATAATTATTTCTTCACAGGATTTTCTCTATTGCGCAGTTTTTAAATGTAGGAATATTTCTTTCATTATTATAAGTGTTCTCAATTTTTATCTCACTTCTTTCCATGTAAACATTAGTGCAGTGGACAGCGCTCGGTGTTGTAGATCAATGGTTCGAACCCATCTGATGGCATTTTTATATTTTTCATCTCCCGCTCATAAAAGGTCATTTTTGCATCATTCAGCTTCTGTTCTGCATCATTCATCAATATTTTTTTTTTTTTTTTTTTTTTTTTTGCATCTGCGTGTCTACAATTTTTAAAGATTAAAAAATCTGTGAAGTTATGCTTCAAAACACAAGTTTCTGTCATCATACCGAATCAGGTCTCTGAATATTTCTCCTACATCCTATGGATCTAAGATTTATCTGATCATGTACATAATTGTATTTAGAAGTACTTTATTTTATTTTCTAAATTTAATTTTTTTTTACTATTCTGCAACAATGTTTAATTTGTTTTGCACCATGAAGTGGCTTGTGTAAATTCCAGTACTCCGAACTTTAACTGAAACCGAGTATCCGAAAAATAAAATTAATTTAACTAGAAGAACTTGTACTTCTATTATTGGGACTAGATTCAGAAATCTATGTCTATATACCGTGTGTATGTATTATATATGCACGTATATGTGTATGTATAGACACACACATATTTATGTACATATATACATGCATCCATCCATCCATGCATACATACACACATACCTTTCTGAATCCGGAATACTGGAATTTGATAACAGTGCAGAGTACTGGGATTTTTGATAACAGTGAATATGGGATGAGATACCAAACAAAAATACCTTAGGAAATTGATGTGAAATAAATAAAATAATTTCTAATTAATTAGTTAATGTTAATTTATTACTGAGCATTTCGGAAACCTACAGCATTAATTTAAAGCACTTCGCAAACATAAACACGAGTAAAAAAGCAATAAACGTCTGTTTCTGCATATGTTTCCTAAGCCCACAAGTAAATAAATTCCTGCATATCTGGGATTAATAACAGATCAGTAATTAATCAAAATAATATTAAATGTTTTTTCTTTTGGCCAATACATACTTTTAAAAATTTATTTTTTGCATATGGAAAGAAATTTCTGTTCATTTCTTGTCGTCAACACAGCCCACACATTCCTCAGCAGTTGATGTGTGGCTGAATTCTGCTTTCGTCGCCAAGCCAAAGAATGTCTATACATATTCTTTGGCCAAGCGACAAAAGGTACCATGCTAAAAAATCTCTGTTACGCATGCTTGAAGTATAAGCTGTGCGAAAGTGAGAAGCTACTTTGGTTAATGGCTCGCTCGGTTTTGAACTTTGAACTTAGATTGCGACAAGCATCGACTACTGGGAGTCTTGACTTGTAGATAGACTGGTGCCTGTGGCCAATCGTGGTTGTAAGTAGAGATGATGTTGCAAAACATCAACACCCGAAGGTAGTTATTAGAAATGCAAAGCATACTATTACCTGAGCAATAAGGCATGAGTGCAATAAAGGCATAATCAATGATTACATTTTCTAAGATAAGTTAGGCATCTTGCAGTCCTTATTCAGATAAGCAAAGTTGTTGAGGACTTATTTCCATAAAGCAGTGCAATGATGTTCAATCTTTCAGTATACAGCTAAGGCTAGCTCATGGTGACATCTATCGGCCTTAATTGAAAATAGGAGTCTCGTTGTACTTGGTAACCAAGTTTTCCGTCGATGCCAGAAACTGAGTCTACTCCGTGTGTATGAATTGCTTTACCACCGTCAAAAAAGAGCTCTCGTGACGATTTCAAGAATTTCAACTCATTCACATTTAAGAACGTTGAATGGCTCTCGCGGACTTAGTAGGAGGAACAACTAAACAAAATCATTCATACGAGTAGTACCATGTCTAGGCTTGTTGATTTTGGCAATTATGCGCCAATGATAGAAATTTTTTCTGGTCCACTACAGTTGAACACTAATCACTAATAGTGTGCTCGGTTTGAAATCCCGAAACGGTTGTCTGCACGGGCTTTTCGTAATAGTATGCTTTGCATTTCTAATAATTACCTTCGGGTGTTGATGTTTTGCAACATCATCTCTACTTACAACCACGATTGGCCACAGTCACCAGTCTATCTACAAGTCAAGACTCCCAGTAGTCGATGCTTGTCGCAATCTAAGTTCAAAGTTCAAAAACGAGCGAGCCATTAACCAAAGTAGCTTCTCACTTTAGCACAGCTTATACTTCAAGCATGCGTAACAGAGATTTTTCAGCATGGTAACTTTTGTCGCTTGGCCAAAGAATATGTATAGACATTCTTTGGCTTGGCAACGAAAGCAGAATTCAGCCACACATCAACTGCTGAGGAATGTGTGGTCTGTGTTGACGACAAGGAAATGAACAGAAATTTCTTTCCATATGCAAAAAATAAATTTTTACAAGTATGTATTGGCCAAAAGAAAAAACATTTAATATTATTTTGATTAGTTACTGATCTGTTATTAAGCCTAGATATGCAGGAATCAGCATGTTATTATAGAATCTGTAGCATGTTATTATAGAATTTATTTACTTGTGGGCTTAGGAAACATATGCAGAAAGAGACGTTTATTGCTTTTTTTTCCCGTGTTTAACGTGAATAAGAAAAAACTTCCGTTGGGAAGACATCCCTTCCTTTAGACATATAGTCTCCGTGTGCTTATGATATACTTTAATAAGTACAATCCAAATCAGAGTTATTTAATTTAGAAGTCAAACAACAAAAATCAGCGTTATATTTGCAAATTTTCATAGAATAGTTTCGATGGTTTTACCGAACCATGAAACTAGTCCTGGAAAGCTTGCAAATATAACGCTGATTTTTGTTGTTTGACTTCTAAATTAATATTTGTTCGGCGTGCTATTTTAACCCGAATTATTCAGACTAACATTTTTTTGTGCCTTTATGATTATTAGTTTGAAATGAAGCATAGATAATATATAAAGCAACATGTTGACTGTGGGCAATTCATGCTAAACAGATTACAACAAGTATAATATAATGAGCTTCTGACATCAGCTAAAGGAAATCTGGAAGGAATTGGCGAGGAATATTAGAATTTGAGTCGAGATGTGGCAGTCATATTATACTTGAGCAATCTAAAAGTGAAACAGTCGACATTTTTTTAAAAAATGAGACAATCTTCACTAGTCGGAAGAAACTCATTTTGAATGTCATTTAATATACAGATGGTATATACGTATATCACCTCAAAGTGCTGTTAGTATTTATCTGTAGAATTATCTGTAGAATTATACGTATATCACCTCAAAGTGCTGTTAGTATTTATCTGTAGAATTTATCTATTTGTTTTGAACTTCATTATTTTGGTCACACAGATTTTGAAGCTTGCTTAAAATCTTTCGTTGCCGTTGGCAATCATTATGAGTTTTAGGGTGTTAAGGATTAGAAAAGATTTTCTCTTTCAAGGCTGTTGTATGAGAATGGTCATGACATCAGAGGTCATGTCATAACTGCTTTTTTCTTAAAAGTGAAACGGGGGGCTTTGAAAATGTGATAGTCGAAAAAGATATTAAAAAATGCATCATGGGAGAAAAGTACAAGTGTGATTGAGTTTTATTGTTTTTGAACGTATGAGTTTAGTTAGGCAAGAAGCTTCATGTGCGCTTTTAACATGTTCTAGAAACTATCTATCGTATGCCTTCCCCCCCTTTTTTTTACCAATTTTATCCTGCGAAAATCGAAAAGGGGAAATTATGCGAATAATTTAACTTCTGTAAGATAACAAATGAAAAGAAGTCATGGATAAACTACTAGTAATTATCACAATATCATTTCTTTAAAAGAAACCTACATTCCAATAAGAATGCACAGTAATATCAACATTACAAATACAGTATCTTCATTTCTACTTCCCTCTAACTTGAATCTCGTTCGTTCTTATTGTTGTCTCTGCTACTCCTTAGGCCTCAAATCATCAGTTCGTGTTTGCTTCGTTGTGGTGGGCCGCTTCTTGTATTAGGATGCCATAAAGATGAAAAGTTAGAAGGGAAAGGTTCGACATCGGCAGTAGTTTGCGAGGGTTTGTTTTTGTTAGTAAAACAAAAGCAATCACTACAGGGACGAATCATTGTTAAAATTAAGGGAAGCTTGTGTTCTGGACGCATCGAGGAAGGGGGAATTACATGAATATTTTTAAAGTTTTCAGAACCTAGTGGTAAAAAGGCTAGGCGAGAGAATAAGCGAAGGAATATGGTATTTATTTATTTATTTATTATTATTTGTAGAAATTTGTTGTTTGTTTTTAATATTTCTTAGAAAACATTTCAAAGAAATCATGGTTATACACTTTGGTCTGAGTAGTGTTAGACTAAATAGGTTAAGTAAAATCAAAAGAGCAGAAAGCCCTCAGATAAATGAAAAAGAATGGCTCCAGTAGTTAAGCCGAAAAATTATTTCAACATAGCTTTAAAAAAAAAAAAAATAAATAAATCTAAATTGAGTTTTGAAAAATTATTTCGAGGTGAGTGTATCGGCGACGAACTCATAGACAGATTCTTCATTTTATAATAAAAAACAATTAGGTGTCTCATGTCGAGACTCAGTTTTTTTTTTTTTTTTTTTTTTTTTATTATTATTATTATTAATACACTATAAAATTACATTAGTAAATTATTTTCACTGAGAGGATTAATGCGCGTAACTGTGCGCTATCAAATGATATATATTATATTGCAAGGGCTGTTCATTTAATCCAAAATATAAAGTCATCGAAAGGATGGGCATGATTTTAAATCAGTATATCGTGCTTAATTATAAATCGGTCTTCAAAATTTTTATACCAAAGTAACTTTAAAGCGCCCAAGTTTAGGCTGTGTAAAGGTGGTTGTAGAGGTGGGTAAAGTAACTTTTGACATGCTTGTAAGACTTGCCAGAAGTGCTTGAGGCCACCGTCTGTTACCAACAAGTTCACATGAAAATGCAATTGGCAATTCATGCTGCAAAAACTTAGTGGATACTGTAGCATGTTGAAGTTAAATCTGTTAACTCTTCAACGCAGTTTTCGGGGAACAAAGCCGCCTGTTGCAAAATGGTCACTTATTGCCGTTGCTGCAATCACAGCAGATACGATCCATCATCCATACCACTCTGATACCTTCAGAGCAATAGTTAAGGCAATCAGTCATATACATGATGAATCTGAACAAGAGGGCGATAGAAAGCAACTATATGAGCAATATTCGTCATATAATATATGGTCGGAACTCAAACAACGAGCGCCTAAGTGGCATTGTAAATAAATGATATAAAAAGAATCAGTCCATTCACCCAACGGCATTTTCTACCGTGGATTGTCGAGAGGACTGCTGCTTATACAAACCACAAAATGTCCAGGGCGATGGATTAGTCAATGTGGCTCCATAGCTTGGCCACTAAGATCACCGGACATCTCGTGTTTGGATTTTTCCTGTGGGACCATACGAAAAGTGTAATCTACGAGTGCCCTATTGAAGCCAATATGGATCTAGTCGCTAGACTCGTCGTTGTTGCTGGCGATATTCGGGAAATGCCTGATGTCTTTGTAAATGCGTGTCAATCCCTATCTTGCAGGCGTTACAGCTGACGCAAAGTCTTTTCAGCAATTTCTATGAGCACGTTCTGTTAATAAAAGGTTTTCCGAAGTATCTCCTCTCATTCTTGTGTTAATTCTTTAAATATGACAGTGAAAAACTACCCTGTAACTTCTCACAGCATGCTTTCCAACCATACATTCTATGACGAATATTGCTCTTATTGCTGCCTTTTAATACCCCTTACTATTCTGTCTTCTTATTTAGATTCACCCTGTATATCATTTATTATTATGAGATAAAAAGGAAAAGAATCAACTTTCATGTTTATTTTGCAATATAAATTGTTTAAGCTGCTTGATATACATTAAAACCAAATTCAGGGCCATCCGTTTCGATGACCCTTTCTTGCTAAAAATTTGAAGGATTTCATTTTTAGGTGACTTGCCCTGTAAGATAAGTTTTAGTACTTCTTTATTATTATGACCTCCTTATATAAACATTCCAAAGCAAGTCACAAATCGTTGCCAAACAGCCAACAATCCTAACCATGATGATAAATAGTTCGTCTGTCATAAGAAGAGCTATAGGATTGTTGTTTTGACGCAGTTTGAGTGATAATATAGATTTATGTTTATAAATTTAGGGCACAGCTGGATTAACCATTAAGCAAAATAAGCGCGTGCTTAGAACGTCAAGGAAAGGGCGTCCTAAGCACGCCGTCCACAAATCATTTCCATTGCCGGCTTTACCAGGGAATGCATGGCGCAACTAAACCAAAACTGAGACACAAGAAATGGGGCGGGGATGAAACAAGCGTCACTGCATGTGGGACAGCGAAAATCTTTTTCGTGCTTCGGGCCTCTAACAGTTTCAATCCAGCCCTGATTTAGGGATTACGCGACAAAAGTCTTGGAATGAGAAAATGGTTTTGATGCTACGTTAAAAGCGATCTCAGAAATATGGCAGATACAAACTACACGAGAAGTAAACATGTTGTGTTCGTTCTTAATTAAAATTTGGCGATAATCTTCGTGCCTTTTAAACAGGACTCGCAAGAATAAGAAAGTATGGAGGTTTTTTAACATTCTATAGTAAGTTTACATAAAGATGCCTGTGTCTGATTTGATTCTTTGCGCAACAAATCTCCGAGCTGCAGATTGATGGAATTGAACCCATTTAGGAAAAGATTGATTATAGCTGGATTACCAGTGACATATAAAAAAAGCGAATTGAAAAGTAGTTGCCTACCAATGAGCGGCACTGTGTCTGAAGTGGGCGGCATGCTCTCCCCGATTACCATGAGGAAGACGGTCATGGAGAGCAAGGTCGTGATGCCCAGGGTGACCTTCTCCCCCGAGTCCGAAGGCATGTAGAAGCTGAGCAGGGCAATGCCCGTGATCAGCATGCAGGGAAGGATGAGATTGAAGACGTAGAAGAGGGGTCGACGGCGGAGGACGATGTGAAAGGTCACATCTGGATACGGCTCCTGGAATAAAAATAAATAAATTTATAATAAAGCAAAGTGATGGTATTAATAATTAGATTCATTTTGGCGTGAGAAAGTTAATTGAATATTCTAAAGAGTGATTTTGATTTGTTACAAAGAACTGTGTTTTTCATTCTTAAAAAGTAGATAGCTTTCGCGTAATCTGATCATCTTGAGTACTAACTAATATCCATACCACCGCCCGTGAATTTAATCACATTCGGGGACTGACACAGAGTACCAGTAATAGTCACCCAAAAGATGACTTTTCACACACCTGCTGGGCCCGGGGTCCCACACCCCCGAGATACCAACAAATTTTTTAAAACTCCCTCAGCCAAACACTCAAATTTAGGGAACCCGCCGCTAAACATGGGCCAGTCAGAACCACCGTCCCAGCCAGACCGAAACCACGGTGGGGTGGGTAGATGACAACTTGGAGCGATGACTGGCCGTTCATAAAGCTACCTACCAGCACTACAAGGGATGCTCTTCTCCTTAGGCTTTACATGGAATACCAAGGACAGCAGTGGCCAAACTCTCAATGGTACAGTTTGCTATTTGGCTACCAGTACTCTGGTAGATGAGGACTTACACCTCCCGGCCCATGAAGAGTGAGTATAGACCCACCCCATGGACCATCAGGAACTGCCAAGTTCATAAATTTTATACCCCGTGGCGGAGACTGCCTAGGTACAAATCCTAGCCAGTACGTCGACCCTCGGGGGGATCATCTTGAGTACGACTTACAAGCTAATTTTTTTAAGTGTTTTACAAATATTTATGAGCTACTTTTTATAATTATCACATTTTGTGTATCGTAATTAAAATTAATAAAACTGAAAGGTGGTGGATGTTAATTCTGCACCACCAGGACTTGGCGATTGATGTTGCCAGACATTTTTCAACTAAAGTATCAAAAGGAGACTAAAAAAAGTCGCAAAATCGGTGATCACGTGATTTTTTGTGACGTCATATTACGCATGCTCACCACTCATGACGTCATCACAGATTTACTGTCTATTGGTTCCATAGGTTACAAACTATTCGATTCTTAGTCGTTTTAATTATGTATGTTAGGTTTAACGAAAATTTTAAAACTGTATTGCTCATTTTCAATTGCTTAAATATGCATTTCCGTTCTTAATTAATTTTCATTTAATGTAGGTTTACATTTTAAAATTAATTTGTGCATATCCATTCTTAAGAGATTCGTCACGTTTGGATTGTTAGCTCTTTTGTACTAAATTTTTTTTTTGAGATGGCATTTTTTTTTTTTTTTTTTTTTTTTTTTTTTTTTTTTTTTGTGCTTAGTTGTGAACATTTTAATTGAAGAATGCTTTTCCAGTCTGCGTGGTGGATTTAGATTCTGATCACTTAAGAAAGCCTTGCTCTTTCACTGTTAAATTCTTTCACTGTTATATAGGAAAAATTGCCGTTGGTTTGCTTTTAAGTCATTTCCATTGCTTAGTTCTCAGCAATATAATAATCAGGAGCTACAAGTTCTTTTGTTCGATTCGTTATCACCATAGCGGCCGAGCGGTAAAGTCGCTGAACACTGGTAGTTCGGTCCGAGGTTCGAATCCCGCGAACGGGCTGGCTGCATTGGCGTTTTCGTGGTTTTCCCCATGTGTAACGTGTATACGAGCCAGTTTCCCTTAGAAAGTCCTCCACGAAGGCATCCCTCCCCTTAAGCAGATAGCCCTCGAGGCTTTGCCATAATCACACACACACACCACACACGTTATCACCATAAAACTGGGGGACACTGACTGAAACAAAATGCACGGGGGACGAGCGGCGTAAGGAGATAGGTCAACTTTTATTTAAGGCTAAATAAACTGTTTTTTTTTAATATAAATTATTTTTAATTGAAATATTATTTTAGCATAGAAGCATTTTACGATATACACTAGTTATCATAAATTAAGGAAAAATCACAAAAAACACGATTATTGAAAAAGTTACATGTAGAATTTTATGAAACTTGCCCACAATATGCAATACATAGTAAACTATCGAATAACATAAAAAGAAATTACCAGACAATTATGGTAGTATAGAAATTAGCACATGTATAAAATAAACAAATCAAAGATGTCAGTTTGCTATAGTAAAAGTACCTTCAATATGGAATATAATCGCCTCTAGAAACAATACAGCACATTCAGCGATGTGTGATGGTTTCAATTATGCGGTTTATCAGTTCCATAGGAAGCGAAAGCCATTGCTCTTGCAAAGCAGTTGCAAGCGCGGCAAGGGTCTAAGGGGGCGGATTGAGAGCAGCTAGACGTCTGCCTAAAGCATCCCAAACGTGCTCGATAGCATGCAAGTCTGGGGATCGAGCTGGCCACTCCATGCGCATAATTGTTTCCTGTTGAAGATAATCATATACGATGCGAGCCCTGTGTGGTCTTGCATTGTCGTCCTGTAACAGGAGAGCATCACCTATTGCCCCGGCATATAAGCGCACATAAGCATCAAGGATGTCATCTCTATAAATATGAGCATTCACGGTTCCTCTTGGAAAAACATGGAGGTCTGTGCGTCCACCCAAAGAGATGCCACACTAAACACAGACACTTCCTCTTCCGTATGCATCTCTTTCACGGATGTTTGACGGATGATAACGGGTTCCAGGTGCTCTCCATAACCAAATCAATAGTACTTGCCTACTATCGCGTTCTAGGAAGCTAAACCTTGGACTTCATCCGTAAAAAGAAGAGACCTCCATTGCTCAGGCGTCCAGTGGACATGTTGTCGTGTCCACTGCAAACGGTCCCTCCTATGGCGTGACTTGAGCGGCACGCAAATGGTTGTTCGCCTCGCATACAGACCACCTTCGTGAAGCTTTCTACGCACAGTTGACGTTGACACCAACCTTCCGGTGGCTGCAGCAACGGAGGATCTAAGAAGAGTCGGAGTAGCGGCTCTTTTCCTGAGCGCACATAATGTCAAATATCGGTCATCGGCGCTCGTCGTAGCAGTTGGCCATCCTTGGCTGAACCTCCTAGATGCCGAATCTGTGATTTGAAATTGTCTCCAAAGTCTATGAACCACAGAAGAACTCACATTTAGCCATCTGGCCACTTCTGTTTGACTTTGTCCTGCCTCTAGTCTCCCAATGGCTTTCTATCGCAGTTCTGCAGGCAAATGATGCCTGGAGATCATTGTTACGAATTGAATATCTCAGATTTCTGATGTCACTATCGCAGTGAAATATGTGGGCTTGCTCTCAAACATGGACTTTTATGCTCCTCGCAGATGACGTATTCCGAGTGCAGCGCCACTAATTCGCATATTGGAGTTTTACTCAGCTACTCTTACTTGGCAACATATTCAAATTTTACACGGTTTGGCTTATTTTTGAGGGAGTTATCGCTATTTTTGTGATTTTTCCTTAATTTATGATAACCAATGTATTGAAAAAATCTTTGAAGTCGCAAAAAAATTTCGCAAAATTTGAAATACTTAAATTTTAGTATGTCAGAAGTCGGAAATTTGGGAAAAATCGCACGATCTGGCAACACTGCTCTAATCCCAAGTCGCCCTATAAAAGGGGGGAATATAAAGCATGCTCTCGTGGTATAATGGTCAGCACACACGGCGCGTATTAGAGAGGTTCGAGTCCCGGTGAGGGGATTGCTCATTTTTCACGTCTCTCATCATCAAAAAACCTAATACCACTACAAGGAGGCTTTCATAAACGATTGATTTTAGAGAAATTGGCTGGTTTTTCATGTAATATATGTGAGAGAGAGAGAGAACGGAGGACGTGGGCACTAGCCCTTTATCAAACGGTTAATTAGTATAGCACCACGTCCACCACTATCTATAGCACCCCTTCAAAATACATAATGCCACCTGAAAGGTATTCAACGTGCACGACAAGACATACAATATAATATGTTACAGAGTTACAGATTAATATTCAAGATACATTACTGGTACATTACTGATACAAACATGACAGATGCTGAACTGATAAAAGGCTGATATAATACTAATATTAACACTGATTAATACTGCTACAGTACGATACATTGATATAACACTGAATATTATTACTGATTAAATGGGAATGATTTTGCATAAGTCGGTAAATAAATCCACGAAATAATACGTTACAGAGACTCAAAATACTGCGAATTAAAATATCACAAATGAATGTTCTACTGTTACATTTCTTATACTATTGTACTATCTATAGCACCCCTTCAAGATACATAATGCCACCTGAAAGGTAATCAACGTGGACGAGAAGACATACAATATAACATGTTACAGAGTTACAGATTAATATTCAAGATACATTACTGGTATATTACTGATGCAAATATGACAGATGCAGAACTGATTAAAGGCTGATATAATACTGGTACTGATATTAACACTGATTAATACTGCTACATTACTGATACATTTGATATAAAAACTGAATATTAATACTGATGAAATGGGAATGATTTTGCACAAGTCGGTAAATAAAGCCACGAAATTATACGTTACAGAGATCTTCTTTCCCCCCCCCCCAAAAAAAAAAAAGAAAAAAGAGAATGAGAATAAAATATCATAGATCAATGTTCTACTGTTTACATTACTTGTACATTACTGATGAAATATAACTGATACACGACTGGATACAAGGCTGATATATTAGTGATACAATACTTTACTGATTGTAAGACTGTTTTTATTGCTCATGCGATATATGCACGAGCAAATATGCATATACAATACTTTACTAGTATTAATACTCATACAATACTTAACTGATATTAATACTCATACAATACGTTACTGATATTGATACTCATACAACACTTTTATTGGTATTAATACTCATTCAATACTGACTAATAGTGATTAATTGTAAATGGGAAATACTGATACAATACTTTACTCAATTATGACTGTTACATTACTGATACAAATGTGGATATATAAATGTAATATATGTGCAAAGCCCGAAAGCTCTCATATAGCCAGGGGACGAATGGTTAAGACAGCTGAACATTGGTATTTTGTATCGGGTTCCAATACTGGCGAGCAGGTTAGTCAGATGTGTTCCTGTCATTTCTCCCATGTATAACGTAAATGGAACTAATTTTACTATGAAAGTCTTCAATGAAGACGGTCTTTCTTTTGTATAAACTCTTGTGTGCTTTGTCATATTCAAATAACCTAATCTTCTAACATAAGGGTTTTATTTCATCATTAATAACCATGCTATTGAAAAACATTATTAAGATATATTGAGAACAAGACCATAATAAGACGAAATATTTAATTCCAAGCTGGAGAGGCTTTCAAAATCGGAATATTTTTATGCTAAAACTTCCGAAGACTCTTTCTAAAATATATCAGAGATATCATCTGAAACGAAACCGCTTATATCATTTTCAGACGAAATATTTTTGCCAAGCGCAAAGCAATGGAAAAGCCAGCCTGTTCCATAAATCCGACTGTCTCTCGTATCGTTGGACAGTTGTTTTTTCATACTATACTTGCAACTTCTTGAAATATTGCGGTTTTTGGCTGCGAGCGCCTTGTGTTGTTGGATTTTGAATTTGTTTTAAAATTTTGCTCATGTCTGAATGGGCCCTTAACAGACAAAATTTAGGCTATAAAAAAAGGGAGGGGGGAATAAAGAACGAACAAGAAAATGTTAAGGAATGGCCTACTTATACTGCGTACGTTTTCGGAGGGGGAGGAAGAGTCCAATTTGAACAAGGCCTTCTAAATTTGCTGCCTTATAAGATCCTAGATTTTCTGTGCTTCATTACATTTATATGAAGCATGAATTTTAATAATTTCAATCCTTCATGTCAAATGCGGGTATAGCGGGATGTATGAGAATAAAAATATCCAGTTTTTGCCAATATGTGAAGACTTAAAAAGGGCCCCATTTCATGAAACTATATTTAATTAAGGGAGCAAACTTCAGTTTTTTAAGCAGACCAAATGGGTTTTACTGATAATGAAATTTTATTCCCAATCCTACAACTGTTTAAATGGATTGAGGCATCATTACAGTGATAACTGATATGAATTGCGGGTTGAATAGATGGCATATTTTTATTTATTAGTCCAAAGGGGCTTTGTACCTGAAGAACTATTGTTTTCGTTTTGCGATTTTGCGTTGAATCACTATAAATGTCCGTTTCACTTTTCAAACTGTTGCCACCCAATGTTAGAGTCCTGCATTATATTTGAAGAAATTAAAGAATGAAAAATCTGCATAAATGTATGCATATTTCTCGCATTGTGATAAAACAACGGTATCTAGAGCCATCATATTTTGAATGACGTAATCTCCTACGAATATGGGCATGTGGAAGAACAAATTTGGAGTTTGTTTTATTATCGATTTCATAGTATTTTCTAAATCTTTAACGAATTTTTGAGTAACAAACTCAACGATTTAAAAGCGAGCAATGGTAACAGTCTACGGGGAAAAAAGACCTTTTTATCTCCAGCGCGCGGAACTGTGTATCGAAAATTCTAAAGATATGCTTATTTTAAAATTATTTTGCGACATTGTTGTTGAACTGAATTTTATGGTTTAAGTGCATATAACATGATATTTAATAAATAAAGGTAACTCACAAAACGTTAAAAAAAGGCCCTTTGGACGTAATTTAAAATCTGAAGCCTTCCAGAATTTTTGGGCTATTTTTATTTATTTATTTATTTATTTATTAAATTGAAATGTGAAATTATTTTTATTTTAAGTATGTTTTCGCTGTTGTTTGCTGTGCGGTTTTTATCATGCTTAAATACGGGCCAGTCTTCCTTAAAATATTCTTCACAAATATACATTAGCTGATAACCTAAGTATAGTTTTCCAAAATCAAACACCCCAATCCTAATTTCCATGTCAAGAACTGTGAGGTTTGAAGAGATTTATATCATTAAGAAATTGAATTGCAGTTATACTAGACCTATTCTACAAATTGAGCAAATAAGATAAACTAAATGTCAGCCTTACTTGACAGCATGAGTAATAGACTTCATTTCGTTCCACAAGCATGGTAATCAGGTCCCATTCTCCATTCTCCACGTAATTCGACAAATCTCCTTCCTTGGTCTGGATGACTACGTTGACCCGGAATCCATCGTAAGACCAAGAGGCGAATTTCATGGAACAATTTTGCTCGTCGAAGGGAAACCAAGCTACGTTTATTTTGCATGAGCTCCGAAAGATGGCGCTGGATAACCATGTCAAGTTTCCATCAGAGGAGACGATAACATTTGTGCTTAGAATGGCGTTATTATATTGCGAATCAGCGCTAGTGATTTGAAAAAGGAACAGCAGAATTAGTCACATAAAATAAATTAATGTAAATTATTAATCACATAAAATAAGTTTAAAGAGAGGAAACTAATAAGAGAATTCGAATATGCTTTAAAAAAAGGATTAGAAGTACTTGAAAATCTTTTTTGTGCCAAATAAGCTCTCGTGGTACTTAAAACACAAATCTGCGCTTTTAGTGTTTGAAAACTGCCTTTAAATAAACGAAAAATAGAACATTTCTGTGGCGACACTGTAACACTGAAACGCTGTCTATCAAATTCTTCGTGTTGCGAATCTTTTTCTATATCTTTAAATTTTTAACGAAGATATTTGAGGTTTTTATGTATTTTTGCTTTGCTGCGAAGTGAGAACTGAATTAATTGACTGAGAAATCTATCTCTAATGAAATTCGAGGAGATAAGTTTGAATAAAATGCAGCAAAAAATGCGTATAATTTAATATTCCGTACAAGGAAGTCATGTGGTGTCCGCAGCAGGGTTTTTTGTTTTATTTTATATGCATTGTATTATGGAATATCAATTACATTAATGTGATTATAAAAAGTAATGAAGCAGTGGGTCAATAATCATTAATTATTTAGAACAGCCAAATTAATGGAAAGATATTATTTAATTCTTCATATAATTTATATGAGAAGCTGTTTTTAAACCAAGCTGTTACCTTGGATCAAAGGTATATTGACAAAAAAATTGCGCTATCATTTCAGAAAATTTGACATTTGGAAAGTAATGCATATAATCACTGTGATATTTCACTAAATGTGAAAGATTTACTAGCATCTCCCCTGCGGGGCACTTACTGAAAAACAAACTTCAAGTCGGAGCAGAATGTGAAGACTGAGGGGGGAGGGTATCCATAAGGCTAAACCGCCAACTCATTAGTGGCATTTGGAAGGGGGATATCTACAAGGCTGAAACAGCCAACTCATTAGAGACATTATGGGATTACACAGAGGTGATTGTTCATCCTACCTAAAGCATTAGAGTTTAAGTCACAACTTAATTGCAAAAGAATCTATAAAACATTAAACAAAATCTGAAAGTTTTCAGGTTTTAACGGGTCTCCTAAAAGCGTTTGTTAAGGTTTTTTAGTCCAAATGGGCTTTGTCCCTGAAGGACTATTGTTTTCGCTTTGCGATTTTGCGTTGAATCACTATATATCTCCGTTTCACTTTTCAAACTGTTGCCACCCAATGTTAGAGTCCTGCATTATATTTGAAGAAATTAAAGAATGAAAAATCTGCATAAATGTATGTATATTTCCCGCATTGTGATAAAACAACGGTACACAGAGCCATCGAATTTTGAATGACGTAATCCTACTGCGAATATGGGCATTGGAAGCCGTAATTTGTTTGTTTTATTGTCGATTTCAGATTTTGTAACACTTCAACGAATTTTTGATTAAAAAAACTAAACAATTTTAAAGCGAGCCATGGGAAATTTGTACAGAAAAAACATTTTTATCTCCAGCGCGTGAGATTCTGTATCGGAAGTTCTAAAGATATGCTCAATTTAAAACTATTTTGCGATATTGCTCTTGAACTGAATTTTACGGTTTAAGTTGGAAGAACGTGATATTTAATAAATAAAGGTAACAGACAAAATGTTAAAAAAAACGCCCCTTTAGACGTAATTAAAAATCTGAAACATTTCAGATTTTTTTTTTTTTTTTTTTTACTCCAAAGGGGCTTTGTCCCTGAAGGACTATTATTTTCGTTTTGCGATTTTGCGTCGGACTCATAAACGTCGGTTCACTTTTCAAACTGTTGCCACAAAATGTTAGAGTCCTGCATTATATTTGAAGAAATATTAAAGAATGAAAAATCTGCATAAATGTATGTATATTTCTCGCATTGTGATAAAACAACGGTACATAGAGCCATCGAATTTTGAATGACGTAATCCTACTGCGAATATGGGCATGTGGAAGCCGTAATTTGTTTGTTTTATTATCGATTTCAGATTTTGTAACACTTCAACGAATTTTTGATTTAAAAAACTAAACAATTTTAAAGCGAGCCATGGGAAACTTGTACAGAAAAAACATTTTTATCTCCAGCGCGTGAGATTCTGTATCGGAAGTTCTGAAGATATGCTCAATTTAAAACTATTTTGCGATATTGCTCTTGAACTGAATTTTACGGTTTAAGTTGGAAGAACGTGATATTTAATAAATAAAGGTAACAGAGAAAATGTTAAAAAAAAAATTTTTTTTTTTTTTTAGACCAAAGGGGCTTTGTCCCTGAAGGACTATTGTTTTCGTTTTGCGATTTTGCGTCGGACTCATAAACGTCGGTTCACTTTTCAAACTGTTGCCGCAAAATGTTAGAGTCCTGCATTATATTTGAAGAAATTAAATAATGAAAAATCTGCATAAATGATTGTCTATTTCTCGCATTGTGATAAAACAATGGTACATAGAGCCATCGAATTTTGAATGACGAAATCCTACTGCGAATATGGGCATCTGAAATCCCAAATTTGGAATTTGTTTTATTATAGATTTTATATTTTGTAAAACTTTAAACGAATTTTTGATTTACAAACTCAATGCTTTAAAGCGAGAAATGGCAACGTTATATAGAAAAAAAATACTTTTATCTCCAGCTCGCGAGACTGTGTATCGGAAATTCTAAAGATATGCTTAATTTAACATTATTTTGCGATATTGCTCTTGAACTGAATTTTATGGTTTAAGTGCAAAGAACATGATATTTAATAAATAAAGGTAACACTCAAAACGTTAAAAAAACGCCCCTTTTTACGTAATTTAAAATCTGAAACATTTCAGATTTTTTTTTTTACTTTTTTTTTTTTTTTTTTTTTTTTTTTAATGCTTTTGCTAAACTTGCAGTCTATTAGTGTGCTGTTACATTCCTACTAACCCACTGTTTTTTCTTTTTGTCTTTTTAGCTTTATTATTAAGCATCATTTTCTTACCGCTAACGCTATATACCATTAAACAGCAAAATTACAAAAATTTTAAAAGCGAGAGAGCAGTATAAGTTTAGAATTCCTGATGCAGCGTTATGTTTTGGCATACTTTTTTTTTTCATTCTTTTCTCAGTTCATCATATCAATGTTTACTTTTTTTTTAATAATATGGCTTTACAAGACTCTATTTATTTATTTATTTGTTTTTTTTTTTTTTTTTTTTTTTTCCCAAAGGGTGTTAGTCCAGAAGCGCTATTAATTTCCCTTTGGCATTTTACGTTAGAATCTTTAAATGTCCATTTCACTTTTCAAACTGTAGCCACCAAATATTATCGCCCTGTGCTATATTTAAAGAAATTACATAGCGAAAATTCTGCATAAATGTATGTATGCTTCTTGCACTGTGATAAACCAACGGTATCCAGTTTTGAATGACGTATGTATCCACCCGAATATGGGCATCTGGAAGCCCAGCTTTAGAATTTGGAATTTGTTTCATTATCTATTTGATATTTTGTAAATCATTTATGAGTTTTTGATTAAGAAACTCAACAATTTCAAAACGATCAATGGCAACACTGTACGGGGAAAAAAATTAATCTCCAGCGCGCGAGACTGTGCATCGGTAATTCTAAAAATATGCTCTTTTTAAATTATTTTGTTACATTTTGTGATGTGATATTGCTGTTGAACTGAATTTTATGGTTTAAATGCGAAGAACATATTTGATAAATAAAGGTGTGACACACAAAATGGTAAAAAATGCCCCCTTATGCATAATATAAAATCTGAAAACTTTCAGATTTTTTTTTTATATTATTAATGTGTTGTGTGTTTACTTTATTTATTAAATATCATGTTCTTGGCGTTTCCGCCACATAAAATTCGGTTCAAAAGTAAAATCATTAAATATTTAAAAATAACTTATCTTGAGAATTTCCGATATACAGTTTCACGCGCTGGAAATTAAAATGTTTTTTTTTTTTCCCCCCTGTACAGTGTTGACGTTGCTCGCTTTAAAATCGTTCAGTTTGTTAATAAAAAATTCATTCAAATTTTACAAAATATAAAATAGATAATAAAACAAATTCGAAATTCATATGGCCTTAAATTTCTTAGAAAAATTTCTTGCCGGTCAGAAGGTTGATAAACTATCAGTATTGGACCCATTTCGTTTTCCTCTTTTGCTGATTTCTATTGTTTGTTAGTCACTCCATCTTCCTGGAAGCTTTGTTTCGAATACTATGAGTACAAACGTTCTGCAGGTAATTGTTCCACTCTATTACAGTTTTACTGGCCATATAGAGCTTACCATATTGTGTCCATGAATACAATTTTTACTTCCTCGTACGAAGTAAAAAGGAAGTATTGAAAAGTTTCAGGCAGCATATTTCAACGAAAATACCCATTTTGACTGCTATCGAATGCAATTTAACGATGTTTTTGCGTGATATCTGTACGTAAGGACAGAAAAAAATACTCGTTTCCTCCAAAAAAATTATAAATCTGCTTTAAAATTAATTTTGAAGAGAATGTTTCGTGGCGTCTGTACGAACGTATGTACGTACGTACGTATCTCGCATAACTCAAAAACGAGTAGCCTCAGAACGTTGAAATTTTGTATATAGGACTGCTAAACATGTAGAGTGCACCTCGTATTTTGGTTTCAATCGCCGCACCAAACGTATATAAATATATTATATATATATCCATTTGTTACCCCCGGCTCATGATCTCATTTTCTTTACTCTATATGTTGTAATTGTACATTTTTTTGCTCTAAAATGATGAATTATGTTGTTTTATCTTCCGGTTAAGGTTTTTATGCCTTTAGTAAATCTGTATGCATATTTTTAGAATTATCAACACTTTTTAAAAGTTGTCTAATGGAGCTAAGCCTTTTTTTTTATGGCGGCCCATTGATTGTTTACATTTGAAACAACAGACTAGTGGATTTATTGCCAATCTAGAGAAACTTAGCTTGGCAACACAAAGATAACGCCTTCATTATATTGCCAATTAAATCATGCTTAATTTT